CGAACCTGCGAACCCACGCAGAGTAGTTAGAGGTGCGGTGGCGAGCGTATTCCTGACGCTTAGCCCGTTGAGCCACACCGCCTTGCATGCTTTCAGCGTACCATACAAAATCAAATAAGTATTGAAGAATTAAAGACCTCAAGTCAAGTTAATACGGCCAATTTCGCACCCGACTCGGCTGAAGCAAGGGATTTTGGCAGCGAGCAATGCGTTTTCTTAATATGCAACGAACCATTTAGCTGGACGACGTAAAAAATGCAGGGAACAATGCCATAATGAGCAAATCTTTGCAAGTTTCCACTCATTGTATATATGCTCATTGGTTAGGTGTATTACGAGTCATTTTCTAAGGTATGGCCTTAAAAAGCTACATTTGATACAGTAGGCCAGCGTTTCCCAAACTGTGTTCCGCGAGCGTCTTCAAAGTGTTCCGTGGAAAAAGAATCAAAATTACGTCTAAAATGGTCGCCATTGCGATCTGTGGAACGTGAAGTTGTCGCCCAACTGACCGTTTTGATACGTCACGTCGGTCTAAAGTGGACTAATCAGGGTGGGGTAGTGGAATTTTCGATTACCGTCGCTATTCTTCCTTCATCTTTGCCTGGTTTTACTTTAAAATGCTGAAAAATTTCTCATTTGGCTAAACTCTAGTCTATTCAGTAGATAAATAAACTGCAGCAAGGACTTCTATCTCCATTAGACGTAACATTAGAGGCAAACACTATGCAATGGAAAGTAAGTGACATAGAATGGTATTATGGTAACATGAATGAATTGATTTATTACACAGCATTTAGATTAATAAACAATAAAACATTTATAATAAATACAATATGCCAAATATTCAATCATTTTTTAGGTATTTTTAACACAACTCTGTTAGTTCTCGCGGCGCATTTGGCAACTCGCCACGAGATTGGGTAGCGGTTACATTACATGATTACACCGTTTTTCTTTATCAATTTTACCCTTTCAATTTTTGATGTTCCGCGAGGCGAGATAAAAAGTGCAAGTGTTCCGTGGCCGAAAAAGTTTGTGAAACGCTGCAGTAGGCATTTATTATTAGACGTAATCTGACAACAGATATTAGCTTAGTTTTAGGGTACATATGGTCTCCATCGTCATTTGAGAGAACATATCTGGCTGACGACAGTATGACATTTTTGATTTTTAGAGCATCCTGCCAATGTGGTGCCCTGTCAATGCCCCTGTTATGCCAAGACTCAAAACCAATAGTGGAAATGGGGTAAACTCAATCTGTTCGACGCAGCTAGCTGACAGTACAAAATAACTCGGCCCGGTGATCTACTGCAGGGGTTCTCAAACTTTTTGTGTTGCGGAGCCCTTGAAAAAGTTGACTATTATTCACGGAGCCCCAAAATAAATGTTAAATTTGTTACTTTCCGAATAATATTCCTGAGTAAGTCAAAAGTACTGTACTTATTTTAAATGCTTAACCTCTTTTAATAGGGTTAGTACAAGTCATAAATGAATCTAAATGTAAAAGATGAATTATATATACTAAAGCTGTAAACTTGATACTTGACAAACATATTAATAAATTAGGGGTCGGATCTTTTACCTTTAGATATTTTTAAAAGACTTAAAAGGCCGCTAATAACGCACTCAATTGCATTTTGTTACGATCGCCGATTGTTTTCGTCAGCATGGCGGTGTTTATTCTCCATAAATCAAAAATTTTCCTCGACATATACATGTATGATGTATTGTTCCACAATGACGACGAGTATTGCTTTTTTGTTCTCGTGGGGAATTATGAGTTCAATGTGAAAAACATGTTACCATATTATAGTCACCGGAGTTGAAATGCTAAAAATAATAAATAATAAAAGGTAAATCCGCAACTCAAATTTCTTGATTGAAAAGCGGCATACTGAAATAGTAAAACTAAAACTTAAAATGGGAGATAACACTATAAGTTTTGTTTCAGCAGACTCACGTCAGATTAAAAACACGTTCATAGACATTGTGAATCAAAAATTTGGTGTTATGTTGGGTTTTCTTTGGTTATTCGTCGTAGTAACTGCGAAACCGAAACACAGTCAATTGTGCGCGCAATGTACCTATTTTTCCATTCTGAAACTACCGACGGAGCCGCATGCAATGAAATAAATTTCAATCTTTCGTATTTTGCCCCGACCTCTTGTTTTTTAAACGGCGACATCTTGCTCGTGAGTGCGAAAGAACAAAATCAAGCTTGACAAATCCCAAGATCGCAAAAATACGACTGCAATTTATGTATAGTTGGCAGTTTTTCGCGTATTTTATGTTATTTCAGAATAGTAGTCTTTCATTTCAGTAATCCTATAGCATATGTGATTGGTAAATGAATGGGATGTTACCGTATATTGCTATTTCGTAGATTGTCTCAGAACTTGCAAGTCACCCGTTCACCCTTCAGCTTCAACGCCCACGTGAATGAAGATGCGTTAAAAATCTCTATATGTTTTTATTCGTATATTTCCACAACACACAGAATATAAATCTTATAACATTTATCCAGACTAGCTTAGAATGGTTTACATCGTCTTTCCTTTATCGAAAGATATCGGAGTCGTATTTATACGTCCATCATAAATCTTAATAAATACTGTAAACGTGAGCTCGTGATTCACGTTATAAACAGAAATTCCTATTATCTCAACAAGGGTAATTATGTACATCGTACGGATGGGAACTTAGATATAATTATTTCAATCAGTGCCAAAGGTTATGAGAATATAAATTTTAATTTGATAATAACTGGGTAGAACATGTTGTGGGCCATAAAACTGGCGTAATTTGATTCCTACGAAAGTCTTTGTTCGAATTTTGGGAAAAATTAACTTTGTTTTCATATTTTTAACATGAAATGGGGTACATTTGGGGGTTAGTTGCTATAATCCTAATAGTAAAATTAGCCAATTCAGTATTTTAAAAAGTAATCGAATAGCTCGCGGAGCCCCTGGGTTTCTCTCACGGAGCCCTGGGGCTCCGTACGGAGCACTTTGAGAACCTATGATCTACTGGATGTAAGACTGAATAATGCAATCGATGTTCCCTCGACCTGATAAGTTACTGCTGATTCTGGGAAAATGAAACAGACTCATCGAATGTAAGCCATAATTATCTTTCTTACTCACTACGTTTGCCTCGCCGTATATGTTACAGCATAATTGAAGGGGGTTTCTGGAGAATTATCCTCGTCTGACAAATCTTCAAGCCTTATTTGAGTTTTTTTATTTACATTACCAGGTCTTGCGTTAAGACTTTTTGCTACTTTCTTTTATCAAAACTACCACTCCAATGACAATTAGACCATGAAATACATCTTATTGAGAATCATTTTGGGTGAGTTCAGGTACCGACATTTTCGAAATGCACGTACACAAATTTATATCCACTATATATATATATTTATACGAGTATATTAGTTACGCACTATCGCAGATAACTTAGTTGTGAGTTATGAAATAATGATTAAAACACACTACAGTGAAAATTATGATGGTAAGTTAATTTCAAAATTGCCGAGTATAACTGATTTTGTGCATTTTACTATTAACCTAATTTTTTATAGTTGTAAAAATTTGTTGTGCACTTTTACGACACTAGCCATAATAGGACCCGTTGTGGGAAAGATGATGATGTGAGGATGCGTCTCTTTTTCACATGTGCCACAATAAAGAAAAGGTGAGTTTTATTGCATAAATGTTTATATTCTGGAATACATATATAACTGTAATTAGTACTTTCAAGTACATTGGAACAAGAGATCTCGTGAAAAAAGTAATGGCTCTGTCGGTGCCAGTCTCCCAGAATGCTTGGTGTTTCGATCTTTGTATGAAGAATCTGACGACTCAATAAAATTATTTGAGTATTCTAATAGAATGTGACTGAAGAGTTCTGTATGTGCATCAAAAGACTATAGGATATTCAGCTTCATACGCTAACAATCATCGGCAGTTAGTTCAATATTATGACACAAAAATATGTCTTTTGTAGTCTAAGATGTAGAATACTAACTACCAAGTAATGTAGGCCAGATGTAGGCCTACTCGATATGATGAAAGAAAGATGCAATGAAGAAAAAAATATATATATGAACATGAAGAATAAATAACTAAATGAAGTACTGGTAGACTATGTGACTCACACGGAAATGTAGCTGAGCATTGAATCCACAAATCAAGACAAATGACGGATGTGACGTTGGTGGTCATGATGAATGAAAACGGTGTACCCATGAATTAAATTAAAATGGCGAGAGTTTGGGTGAAATAGCACTCGGAAAGGGAAACAAATAAAAAAAAGTATCAGCCTTCTGGCTACTACTTCAATCTTAAAGTGTAGGAAATTTTAAATTGATTCGTTCATCAGTGGATCTTCTTCATATACGAGAGGTTATTTTTGAAGCCCATCGTCGAAGATGTTCTGTGTATGGAGAGGAGAAAGTGCCATTAACCTTTGCTCCAAATTTTGGTAGAAAGTTGGTAAATCGAACGCGATACGCAACATCTACGTTTCATTAATAATACAAAGCTTGCTGACAAAAAACGATCACGTGCCCTGGTGTCGATTTCCGCGTGACGACACGTCAGTTTTAAAGAGAATAGCGCTGCACATGATTCGCGGTCATTTCACGCGCCACAAGCAAACGTTAGACATAGAATTGGAATAGCAAACAGACTGGAATAAAATTTCTAAATCAACGCACAAATTCAATTTTCTTCCTCGCGCTTTTTACCAATGTTTATTTTGACTATGTAGTCATAAAATAAATATTAGAAGAACCGCAGCGTATAAAATGACAAAGCGATTAACAGTATTGCCAGTGTGGTTTTCGAATTATCCAAGCATGTATAGAGAGAGTAGAGTTCGTCTCATAACGTTTTCGTAAATCTATACATGTTTAAAAATAGTGGTTCGTCGCGTACGTCTTTTATCTTGTTTGTGTCAATGGAAACTTTTTAAATGGTCACATTTTGTTTCTATACTTGCAGCATAGTTTTAGTGTTTCAGGTATGAACATCGCACTTTTTGTTGCATTTCTCGTTACATCCGTGGGTGCAGTTGTTCTGAGCGCATGGACGTGTGGTGATACACATTGGCTTGAAAACGGAGCAAGTAGTATTGGAATATGGAGAAATTGTGCTGGTGGAACATGTGAATATATTGGTAACTTAAATTTTGTTATTTTTATCCATAGCATCTGGTTTACGTCGGTAAACTCTGTACATCAGTACATGGTGGTCAACGCGGCAGATGGGCAATTCAGCAAAATCATGCTTTTTATTAGTCAATAATTATAACTCGTAGCTTAGCTTTCCGATCAAGTTGTTGAATTTATAAAGTATAGCTGGCAATATAAAAGACTTAATAGAAGTCTATTTATACGAACTTTCATTAACGGTGGAATGGTGGATGCTATTCTGCAATTGGGCGTACCGGTAAGCGGTAACTATTTTCACTGACCTGGTGATAAACTTTAGCTAGAAACGTTGTGTCAGCCTCGGAGTCACGCACCATTGACTCTCTTAAACTGGAAACGTGCCGTTATGTAAGGCTGAATTGAGTCTGTTGCCATGGGCTGGCCAGAACATTGTCTTGTGCCGATACCCTGCTTTTGCTATGCAAATACTGAAATAGCACAATGTGCATTGTGCAACAATAAAAGTATCCTCATGTTTTCAAATAAAATAGCCTTTGGTATATGGCCCTTGCTATCTCTCGTTCAACGCAGAAAAGAGAATAAGATCAACATATTTCTGTGATTTTCAAATTCTTTTAGGATTTTTTTAATTGTGTCTTTACAGAATATAAATTGGCAAAATCAATCGTACAATCAATCAATACATTTTGTATTTTGCTGAATCGAATCACTGAAAATGCGATTTTGAAATATCAATAAAAATTAATGTAGTAACGCTGACAAGACGTCTATATATTTTTTTTATGTATATTTAAATTTTTATGTTCGTACTCAAATCTTCGTCCTGAACATGACTCAAGACAAGTAAACTCAGTCCTATTTAAAGTTCGAATTATTACATCTCTTATTTCAGCTAGATTGGCAATGGAATTTATTACAGCTCATGTAACATAATAAAATTCGGCCGGGGGCGTGCTAAACTTTTCTGCTGCCCGGGGTGAGTTTCTGACAATCATTTCCCGTATAGGCTACCTAACTTCAAAAATAATGCGGGGGATAAAATATAGATTTCGTTATATATACATGAGAAAAAATAATGTTAAAGGTTCAGTAAGAGTGAAATGTTTGTAATGGTATTTACAAGCAATCTGCTGCCACTACGATGTTCTGCCCCTCGCCAGTCACGCCCGCGAGTCTTTCATGCTTCACAAAAACGTTCATGCACCTCGCTTTTGAACGTATGACCATTTGCGAATGGTTAAATCGTTTTAAAGTTAATTGACTACGTTGGTATCACAAAATCATGCGTTTCCTGTCCACCAGGGCATTGGGCAGGCAATGACAACCGAAAACAACAGGCCCTTCCACAAAATATTTTTTTCACAGGCGCGAAAATCGTTTATTTTCAAATTCCATCTTTGACATGAGATGCTTGATAAGTAACGTATACGACTCTCGGTAGCGCTCTCTGTGTTATATCGCCGGTGATAAAATTTACCAAGATATATTACTTACTCTATTACAGATTCGGGCGATGGTGGGAGGACTGCTGCAGCATTCTTGATACTGGCTTGTTTTCCCCTGTCATCTCTAGCTATAATGACGATGACAAATCGGAAGAATGAAAAAGGATGGTTTCCCATTTTTGCTGCCGTGTCATTCAGTATTTCAGGTTTGTTTATATGAACTATCACTAACATCAAAGTACCATTCATCATCGGTTTTTCACACTCTTTTTGTAATTTGTAACATCTCGCGTTATTTTTCAGCTGTTTTTATCTTGATTGCTGTAGCAACGTATGGTGGTACCTACGCCAATTCTAACCTGTTGTCACAAGGCTACAATTTAGGATACAGTTATGGTCTTGCTTGTGGTGGTCTGGGATTGTGTTTGATAGGAATTGTTCTCGGGTTCGCGAGCAAGGGAGGACAAGAACAAATCGGATGAAATATCAGAATGCTTTGAAATATCTTAATTGTTTTTTTTAGTTTGTTACTTATAGACTACTATCTCGTGATTTGCACATGTTATATTGTCGATAAAGACGGATTCCAGGGATTTTATTTTAGTAGAATACTCGAATTTTTACCTAATAGCGCTTCTAACCTGATTGTTTACTGTAGTTTGATAAAATAATAATAAATTTGAACAAAAGTAAATTGTTTCTTGAAATGTCAACCTTCATGACTGTGAAGTTTCAATCGGCTCTTGATTCTCCGTAGAAACAAATCGGATGCCAGATTCCGAATACAGGACGACAAAATTTTGAGTACATATCTCCGCCATTTTGTTTGAATTTAAGATTTCGGTTCTTTGATCCTACTTTATGCGACCCTAAAGTCAAAATTCCAGCTGTCAAAGTTCAAATCGAGTGCGTGCAATGATATCATTCCAGCCCAATAAAAAAACGTAGAGACGCCTCAAACCTTCTGTACATCGTATATGATAAACAACCAACCCATGGTTGTGACTTGTGAGATCGTCAGCGCGCAGCCATCAGCTACAGATTTATAACGTAATTTCGTAGTTCCATAATTTTTTTTATAAAATTCACAATCGCTAACCAAACTTGAGATAACGTTGTAGCTCTCTGCAAGCATGTCTAATTAGGATATTTATCGCTGGGAAGTGGGAGGGAAAAGTCGATAATACGGCTTGATCATATGGCGAACCACGGCCTCTCGTCCGGTTACCAGTCCATGTCGGGTATGGATTTAGTTCGCCAGTTGTTTTCAGATGCATGGACTTAAAGGCGGAGGAAGCCAGCGATTACATGAACCGCCCTAATGCGGTGAGAAGTCCAGCAATCCCCTCGCACATAATTAACCCCGCATGGGTTTCGATCCTGCGTACTCGCGCAGGGTGAGTGGCGAGCATATTCCGTTCGCTTAGCACGATGCGCTACGCCGCGGAGCAGAGGTTGTTAATTAAAAGTGCATTGTACAAAACATCTGATGAGACGAGTTAGAGACAATGTAGGTCGTAAAAAGTGGACAATTCTGTGAACGAAAATTCAGCTCATTTCACACATCTCATAGGAATCAAATTGTCGTAATGTTCACCGAAATCAAAGGTAGTTGCCTACGCTTCCGTGTATTTTTTCTAAGAGTTTCGTGGATACCAGCCTTGCTTCGATACCATTAGTAATCTAGATTGGAGTAGGCCTACATTAGTAAGACGCAGTAATGCTTATATGCTAGCATTAAATATAATTTAAAAGTTCCCAGAGAAAAAATAATATCCTAATTTGGAGGAAGTAAATGTGGGGCGCAGGCGTCAACAGTGTGAATATCAATAACCTTGGAGCGCCGCAAAAATTGTGCTTAGGATGTATATAAATATACTTTCGACAAATGTCAAAACTCAACCCCCGCGTTCGCCCTTTCCTCGTTGTTTAACACTATCGTACGTATCGTAGGATGGGCAATTTCGGTATTTACGTTTCAGTGTAATGAAGCAACAAGGTCAATAACCTTGGAACAAGCAAGCATGTATCCAGTTATGTCGGGCATTTCGGACCTTCGACTTTCAAAAAAATCTTTATATTTTGCCATTGCAGGTGTTTGCTTCATTGTCACTGGTTTACATGTTCGAAACTAACATTTCGATTCGAAATATTCAACCACTTTCTAGTAAAAATTACCTACAGCAAATTGTTAGCATGGGCATACGAGCATTTTTGCAAATAGTTTTTAATAACTGAAACTCTCCAGAACAGAAAGAGCGCTAGGTTATTTAATTAACGCTAATTGGAAACTCGCCCGAACGCTAAAAGTCTGAGCGGGTCTTAATTGTTACTGCACCTCCAACTATTTTTGATTAGCCAATGTTACTTAAGTAAACAAGGAAGTTGATGTTCTGAGCAATAAAATTCGCCATATAACGAATGATAATCTTGTTGAAGCTTCCAGTCATTTCACTCTTCATTCCACACCTATACAAATCTATCGAAGATGCGGCCCCTCTTTATCGTTTATTCAATTCAATTGCAGAAGCAACATACCATATTACACTTTTGTAGTTTAAGAAGGTATAACATAATGCCGGGGAAAGTATACGAACACTGGGGCAGACAAGGCGATATAAACTACATGCTAAACCGACCTTAGATCACATCCTTGGCATACTCCCTTACCATACTGAGGCACATAAAATGAGTATTTCACCTTCACTTTATGAACCGCAGTAATGGCAGGTTGCAGACCTTTAATGCCATCTAAGATCGGATCAAAAAGCTATACAAAATAAAAGCGCTACTTTAATTTACAATTTTTTTTGCAAATTGACCGCCTCTTACCAGTCAAAATATGGTTATACAAGAGTGTCAAGAATATTGTGTCCAACATTTATTCCCATTGTCCCACGGGCGGACAAAGTGTGATTGGTAGGACAACCGTTGGTCACGAAATTTTGGCACACTGTGCTTATATGAAGCACAGCCCTTTTTGAAACATGTCAACTGGTGTGGTTCATATAAGAGTCACGTTTGACTGCACATATGAATCACGCATTCATTACTATAATATATATTTGGCCATATGTAACCAGTCGAGATTGGGCACCAAATTTTGATCAAAGTATCAATGAAAAGACAGCATATGAAAGTATTAAAATTTTGAACAAAAAAAATGAATTTTTTCCCAGTTTGATAATATTTGAAAGTTGACTAAAATGTAATACATCTGGCACTAAATTGAATTTTTTTCTAAAAAAAAAACATAATGTTGGACTCTTGACTAAAAATGAAACAAAATGATCTTCACAATGATGTAGCATTAATTTGGCTCCATAACAAGAAGTTACTTCAGAATTTGAAAAATAGATTGAATTTTGCATCCCATAAAAATAGTTTGAAATTTCAAACAAGGAAAAATCTACTCATAGTGAAAAGCATGGATACATGTTTTCCCCATTATAAACCGGGAAATATTTTAGAGTGAAATTTGATAACATCAGAAAAAAGTCATGAAGCAGTAAAATCTATTTTTATAGTTTTTTGTAAGTACTTATGAATCATTATGATATGTTAATAGCCTGTTAAAATGGATTCAAAATATTTGATATCGCATAATTTCTAATATAGAGAAATTTATAAAAACTACTCCAAAACATATTTTCCTACTTAATGTCCAAGGCTACATCCTGCTATAATGTGAAATGATTTCAAAAGCTCCTGCGATATGGTTTAAGGGATAATCAGACAACAAAGACAGCTCAAATTTTAAAATAGAGAATTCTTGTTGTCATTTTCTATACATTAAATGCACATTTCAAGGCACAAGATTCACTGTTAGTAGGAGCTAAAATAGTTCGGAATGATGGTTTGAAAACTTTTCGATGTGACATTGCTCACCCAATTTATTGCATGGGTGGATGATTAGCGTGGGATTTGAACCCACGACTTTTTTACTGGCAAGTCCAACAATATTTGGGCAATGAACTTCCCATATTAATGGGGATTGAATACAGCAAATCATAATATAAATTCGTTTAGGGAATCATGCTGAAGAGATGAATATAAGAAATCTTGTCATAATCAGTAGTACCATAAATAGGAGGATAAAACTTTAGGTATATTAGCACCATAGGATATAAGTCTAGGAATGATTTGCAGAAATGATCTTTCTATACAGAAATGTTCTGCCAAAAAGTGAAATTTAAAATAATAAGCGAAAGGTAATTAACATTGGTAATATAGTGAATAGTCAACAATCACAGTCGTTAGAATATTAAGTACAAAATTGCTCGAAACATAAACAATGGATTTTTAATTAGTTTTAACACAATGTTATAGTTAGTCTTAAAGCAGAAAGATCAAATCAAGCGAAATGTAAATAAAATTGAGCACAAAAAACTGGTTAGAATATAAAATGGAGAATAAATCTTCCATCTCACCGTAGATAAATGAGATGGGTTGTGGCCCATATTATATACTTAGAATACACGATTGTGTAAGCATTGGGTGTAAGTGTGTCGAAAGTCAAGAATATATCTATATTAGTTAGGAAGCACCCTTCTTTAGTTTGAATAGGAAGTTTTGAAAAAGTTTCTCAAACTTTTTTTAATTATTTGGACAAATTTATATCTTTATCAGTCCGCTTGGTTATTAAAAATAGTTCCAGTTAAGGACATTTATTATATTTAATTTTAAATGAATCCAGATATTTCATGTTTCAGTAACTATAATGAAACATAGCAACGCTTTTAAGCAGTATACGCTCAGTTAAAAACCACAAAAAAGCTAATTTGTCAATTTTTTTTTTATATTAAACCAGTTATTTTACCAAACCTATCTAATCCTGATTTCAAATATTTTCGTAAGGAAGAAAATAAGACAAACTGAAAAAAAGAGCAAAATATGAAAAAGTAGGGTAGGTATAGTACCATTAGGTCATGTAGAAAAGCTTGGTAATAATATACATTATTATACATTTCGTTGTAAAAAAATTATACAGCAGATAATTGAAAATAAATAAAATTAATAATCCAATTATGTACAAAAATTCTTCTTCATTCCGAAATTAAGACAATCAAATTTCACTTTTCATTTCAATTTCAACATTGTGAGATTTTACTAATAATAAAGTAAATAAGCAACTCACTAAGAAAATTAACGCTAGGTATAAAGTTAACTCAAAAAGAAAACAATTGCTGATAATGCCAAAAAGCCGGGCTGTAAAGTCCAAGAACCCCACGCCCCACGGGTCCAGACACGAACTAACCCTGGCCCCAACTCCATATTGAAGGAAATTTTGGCTCGCGACTTTAAACTTCATAAAAATCAAATTTTGACAACCAAAACGTTGTCGCATGCGAGCCTTTTTTTATTTCTCCTAAATATGATCAGTCAAGTCATGGCTTTCTGTCAAAAATTTTGATTCTCATCATCACCATGAAAAGTCTGTCGTTGTATTATAGATTTGAGCTTCTCAACTTGTTTTTAAATTCGAGTTTTTATTGAATATATTTATGTGATGATCCTACGTACCTTTCAATCTTGTATTTTATGAAATATTTCAAATTTTATTATGACATCATTATATTTTTCAGAAAGCTAATGTGATGTCACAATAGAATTCTTTACATTGTGGAAACACAAATTATAACATTATATTACAAATTTTCAATTATCAATCTCCCCTCCCCCTATCGAAATCATGGTGAACTTGGATTAAAAATAGGTATGTATTATTTATAACTATGTTTGTACATAGGGATTCGAAGGCAAGTAATCATCATAGGTATTTGTTGAGTTGCGACATTTGCCGCTCTTTTTAATAAAGAGTTCCATTTTTTATTTTAACAAATTATCAATAATTGAAAATTGAAAAGAAATGCAAAAAAAAAAAACAGAATGAAAAATAATAAATTCCAAAAAATGGGATCTAAAGCAATGTTGCCTTTGCGTTTGGATCATTCCAAAATGGCTCCTTTACAAATGGTCGCGGTCCGGTTGATTTTGCTGAAGCTCGATTAGTGAGGCGTTGGATCACATGATCTGGTAGACCAGAACCAGATCGAGAGTCCTGAAAATAAAATAGTAATAAAGTATAAAAAATTGTACTAAAATCTTCCACACATCAGTTTTCGATTGAAAGATTATTATAACTGATAAAACACGAATCCATACATGATTTAAACACGACAGCAAATATATGGAAGGATAAGCGAAGCAGAACCGGTATGCCAACTGTCACACTACCTGTACCACAATTTCATTTTTGACGATGTCATCAAATACTAAAAAACAAAATGAACCATGATTGTACACTGCGTGTCCAATAAACATAACACAAAGGAAAATTTATTGTAATTTTTTGCAATACAGAGTGAATATCCCTAGTTCAACGAACCGATTTTTTTCCATAATGTAATGCGTTAGCTCTCGGTTTTCCTTCCTTCTCAGCAACTCTCCTACGTTCTGCTTCTTCAACCATCCAGTGTTGTCCTCCGCCTAAGATTCCCATCATACCTAATCCATTAGTCCGGGATGCTTGAGGCGGGGCAGTAGGAAGAGAGCTTTGCGTCCTGCAAAATCCAATTTCTTCATAATTCAATCTAAGGCTATTACTTGACATATTGTGGCACAGAAAAACTGTCCTATTGATGTTATTTTTTTTGCTAAGATCGGTCAGCAAAATAATATGCACACCCTCATACAGAAGTAAAAAGACTGATCCTTAAGCAAAGTTATGTACGACTACTGAAATGCCACTCATAACTGAAACTATGGATAACTAGGTTGGTGGATCCCATGTCAGTAAAAATAGGATAGAGACAGGAAAGCTTAGCGTTGAGAATCCCCTGCCATCGCATCTCTGATTATCCTGCGAGGGGTTCGCGAGTTTGGATCCAGTGGGGTTATTTATGTGATATTTATATGAGGGGATTGCTGGACTCCTCGCTGCTGTAGGCTTGTTCACGTAACCGCTGGTCGGTTGGTTACGGCTTCCTCCACCACCAAGTCCATGCATCTGAAACAAATAATCCCATATCCGACGGCGACATGGACTGGTAGCCGGACAAGTGACCATGCTTTGCCATTTGATTAAGTCGGCTTATTGGCTTTCATCTCCCCAGGATAAATATGTAAACCCTATCTTGAGATAATAGTGTAGTGACAGCAGGGTAACATTCATTATTCAACAGAAGGAATAGTGATCTGCTGTTTGATCAAATGCCACATTTGGTCATGTATTCAAATGAAACTGGCAATCAAAGTTATAAGCAAATCTATTGTTATTTACCCAGAGGGTCGATCTTGGTAACTCTGCATGTTATTTCTACGTTGTTCTTGTTGTTTCATTCTTCGAGCTTGTATTTTTCTGAAATAGAGATCAGTATAAGTATAAGTATAACAAGGTTAAAAACACAAGGTCGAGAAAGAATTTAACATCAGATACTAACGACAACTATTTCAAACAGGTGATTTGAATTGGCAGATCAAATTCCATTGCGAGGAAGCTGATGGTAACGGGTGAAATATTTAATATCTTTTATCAAGTTTACTTCTAGAGAAGTGAAACCACTACTCCATTCAGATTGATTCAATAGTAAAGTATTTAAATAATATGTCCAATAAAAATAATTCTAATAACTGATGACATTTGATTGCCTTGTTCGTTCCTGTAATAATGGCCAATCAGCGATAACACCACAATGGGGATTTCAACAGTCGCTCAACGTTTTCAATCAACGTTGTAACTATTGACTCGCTACTGTGGTTTTGACTGTCATTTTACAGATTTTAGTTATATATTGTAGATATAGATATAAATCAAATAATAAGTGGCCATTTAGTCTTCAATAGATTTTCTGTTTAGTTGTGTTAACTAAAAAAGCATCCTGGAAAACCTGGGATAGACTATGCTAAAATTATCTGCCCGTACTTTTCCACAAGAGTTTCTTAAACATAATTGTACATTTGAAGAAGTATACCCGTTTACAATCTTAAACTCTCAAAAACAATCAAAATAGGCATTAAAAATTTTGCAATAGTAAAGTGTAGTGGGTTGAAAAAACATTATTCATTTCATCGAGAAACAAAATTAAATCTCAAATCCCCAATTTCTAACCGCACACATCAGTTGTTATTTTTAATGATAGATGCCATTCCTACGTAACCTATTGTCTGCTATCATCACACATTATTGTTGTGCATCAGAGCGAAACTTGCCGGCATTGATTATCAATTTCAAAAGGAATTTTTGATGACAATGTTTGGATGATATTCCGTTGATGATGGAGTAAGTAAAGAGCAACCATAGCCTGCTTTTTATATGATATTTATACAGTATTATGTGATCTGTCATCGCTGTCTGGATAAACGGATTCCATTAAACATAATTCTGTTTGTGAGGTCCGTAGAATTTAGCGTAGAAAGAAATTTGAAAACAATATTTTTCTTACAAAAATCATTCTTCATTAGAAAAATTGCCTAATTTGTGAAATATCTGAGGAATGACGACACACTAGTAAATTGCGTACATTGTTTTTTTTCATACATAAGATACATGGGACTATAAGGCGCAATGATTTTTGAAGTAATACCGGCACTGATTTAGAGAGTGGCAATAAAGCGCTTATGCTTTCCAATACAAAAGGCGCTCCTGTTGATAAGGCGGAAGATCAATCTTTGAAAAAAAAAGGCTACAAAGTGTGCCATATGGCAGGGTTACTCAACAAGCGGACCGTAGTCTGAATCCAGACCTTCTGAGTGCTAAATTTAGACAGCAGCTGCAAGTCGCTGGAAGACTTAAATTAGCCTATATATATTTCACAGGGGCGAATATTTTACAATATCTTATTCGCTCGCCCACACAACTGAATTCTGTCATATCGGCAGCGAAACGTGATATTATCAAGTATTGTTCTTGTATTTTGTCAAACGATGAATTTTAAATTTTGTTTGCATAGTTGAAATAAATATTTGGAATGACCGGACCCTGGTCATTTTTAAGCGAGAAGAACTCAGAGGTTGGAAAAACAACTGAACCTTAATTCCTCTTCTACTCTTAAATCTTCTAATTTTGCTTCCTCCTGCATTTTCCTCCTAATTTCTTCTCTTTGGGCTTCTTCCATTTCCAACTTTCTTTGTTCTTCTTGTAGCTAAAATCCAAAAATGTATTTTGTACAATAAAATAAAACTTATTCAGAAATAGCCCACGATAATGCAAATGTCCATAAAGCAGAAATATTATCGGTAGTTCAATATTGAGCAGTTTTAATAAACATTCCATGCTAAGTATTTCGATTCATCGTTAAATGGCAAACTGAGAAAAAATCACAACCCATATTTTACATCATTTTCAAATAGTAAAATTATTTTTACACAATTCGAATGTCAGAGCATCAAACTGAGCGAGCGTAGAAGACATCCGCAGGGGATAATTATGTGCGAGAGAATTGCTGGACTTCTCGTCAATGTATAGTGGTTCACATAACAACTTCTTCCCTCTACTGTCCATCCATCTAAAACAAATACCTGGTTGACGACTTGCATATCCGACATTGATTGGCAACCAACCGTACAATAATTTGTCTTACCATTAAGATGTCTTATCACCTTTCCTCTTCTAAGATAAATATAGGATAGGATTTACATATTTATCCTGAGGGAGAGGAAAGCCAATAACACGGCTTAATAATATGACGAACCATGGCCTCTCTTCCGGTCACCAGTCCATGTCGGGTATGCAATTAATTAGCCAGTTAGTTGTTTCGGATGCATGAACTTGATGGTGGAGGAAGCCATAATCGACCAGAGGTTACGTGAACCACACTACGGCGGCATGGAGTCCAGCAATCCTCTCTCCCATAGTTATCTCCCACAAGATTCGAACCCACGCAGGGTAATCAAAGGGGTGACTCCGAGCGTATTTCTACCGCTTAGCACAATGAAATATGAAAATCTTATCCAAACTACATTTTTTGAATAATTCATAATTCTCTCAAAAATTCGCAAATAACCTCAAGTCTCAATAGATTTTCTTCTTCTCTTCTTCTAATATCATACTGGTCAACTTGTTCAAAATCTAATTCTTTTTGAGCTTCGAGAACTTGTTGTCTTAATTCTTCTTCTCCTTCAATATCATCCTGCAAATTTATATGGAAATTTTAGAAAACGATTTGTGTTGAACATTCATAATAATAATAATAATCTATTGGGACAAAAGTTGAAATCAGAAAGAATCACCGCTATACGATAGAAGAATAAGTAAAGTAAGATGCTTCTTCACAACATATATATACGATGTCTTGGTGGAACGGGTTTCGCCTGCAGATCTGGGATTATAGGTCCCACACCAGAAGATGTGATGAATGTGTAACCCACAAGGTTTTGTATGTATGTATAAAAGGCTTACAGTGAAATGCAGTTTACAGAAATGACCAAAACCAAATATTTCACTAATCCTAATACATTCTGAAAACATATTTTTGAATGGGCTATCGAGTACATTCTAAATTGCGGGCAAGCTGATGTGATAAATTACATAAATATAAAAGTCATTGTTTTCTCTGTGTTGTTTGTTACCAGTTGAGATATTGTATGTTTTGATCTGATAGTCTGACGGATTACAATTCTCTAATTTTCAAATAAAAATATTCTAAATTATTCTCGAATTCAAATATTTTTTATATCGAATATAATGAAAATCGAATATATTTGAATATTGGACATCCATGTCAGTTTATTTATAAAGTCATATTGCACATTCAGAAATTTCGAATATTGAATATTATTATTTTATTAAATCAATTCCTACGAAATATAAATGACATTAAAAACCGGAGGTATGTAAATCTGACTCGGACTCCAATTTTCGAGCCATTTCAAAAATGACTTCAACTCAAGACTCAAGGTTGACAAAGTCTCTGACATCATCTCTTGACAAAATATGCGTCCCGTTTTCATTTTGTATTTAAAACGCTTGCTCCACTTAATTACCATACATTTGAGTATCTCTTAGAAATTACGTTTTTTTTTCGGAATTTCAGATTTTCAATATTAATTCTTAAGGAATTGAAAATTTTGACTATGGTTTCAACCCCAGCAAGTTTGAAAATATAAACAGCCTCAACATCAATAATAACATGCCAAAAACATATGCCGTAAATACTTACTCCGTCAGAGTGAACTTCCGATAATGCAGTATCACGATAGCTGTCAAATGAACTGGCTGCAAACAGATAAAAAAGAGTGTTATTATTGGAATACTATAAATAACAATGCTCAATGTGAAGGTTGAATGTCATTCAGAGTGTTCCCATATGACATATGAAAGTGTTCCTTTTCGTAATGAAAATAAAACAGCAAAATCTGGGATGAAATATGAAGTCATATACGAATAAAATAAAATAATAGCCTTCTTGCGATTTATTTCATGTTCAAGTAATAAAAATTTGAGAATTAGAATGGTCCATTAGTAGCGAAGAAAATCAATTTTTAACAGTGAAAATAAATTTATCAAAATGATCCATCCCTAGGTCCACTTCATGACTCGCAAATAAATTTTAACACATATTACCAAGTAATATTAGCAGTAGTTATGGCACATTGGTTTTCATTAAAACTTACCAGGTTAAAAATTAGAAGCTTAGCTTAGAACAATTGAAGTATATTTCTTGTTTGGAGGGGGAATAATAAAGATCAATAAAGAAACGATCCATTCTACAATTGAGAGAGAGTTATGAGTGAGAGAATTGAGTAGTTGTTATAAGGCCTGCAATCCAACAAAACGAATAGCCTACTTAGTTTACAGAAATACGCCCTTAACAAAAATACCGTCCATCAATTCAATCCACCCTAGCATGGCCCAAGCCTAAATATCAGTGAGAATTATTACTGATCACATATGATAGATGGGTCACACTCAAAGGTATTTATAATGGAAGTCTACTTAGTCAAACAAGTCTTGCCTAGATATACATTAACACATATATTGACAAACAAGTCCATTATTACAGTTTTGTTTGTATTTCACCATGATGTCCCTAGTCCAGGGGCAAGGTTTTTGGACCAGGGGTGAAAAATTTGGCGACCTAGACTGGCGAGCCATGTATGTGTAACATAAAAAGTTACGCACTGTTACAAAAGCTTACAAAAGCAAAAGCGGAAAACAATAAGCCTTGAGCTAAAACTGTATTAAATCACAATTTCAACAAATTGAGATTTTTTTAGCTAAATTATCATAAAATTTGGTTTTATTTTGGTTGTGGCAGCATCAGGCGAGCCAGACTGAAGTACCCAATGGGCCTAATTTGGGCCATGGGCCGTAGTTTGTATGTTTGAACAAAATATAAAAAAAGACAGTATATCCTCCGTAAATTTCACTTCATATTATTACCGATACTATTAATCTGAGCAGATAATGCAGATTAGAAAGATTATTATTCTTCCAAAAGATATTAATTGTTTTATATATCAGTTGTTGCTTGTTTAGGGAAAAAGGGGAGAAAAGTTGTTCTACCTTGTTCAAAGCTATCGCTGTTGGCATCATTGTACCTGTGATGCGAATTTTGTGAAGCTGCGGCAACTAATCCTGATAATGGACTCAAATGCCTAAAATAAAAAAAATAATATGTTTAAATAAAGAAAATGGTTGATACAAGGTAGAAAAAAAAAGCTGGCGCTATCGTATGACAGTTGAAGCGTTGGACTTAAATATGTTGACATGGACATGGACTGGTAACCGGACGAGTAGCCGTGGTTCGCCATGTAAATCCTATTTTTAGAGAACCACTTGCCTGTTATTTGTTTGAGCTACAGTAGCGTAATGAGCAGCTTCTAATTCTTGCTGAGTAGGAGGAGGAGGAAGCTCATCATCACCATCTATCATATCATTGTTATTATCATCTGTATGTACCGGAGAAGAAACTGAAATCTGAAAATATAAACCATATCATATTCGTGTCTAATGAAGTTATAACCAAGGTAAGGCTGGGGAGACTGAAGCATCAACAACCAGGTAAAATCTGTGCGCACAATAGAAATATTTGAGTGGCTGCACAGGTTTCATCAAAACCGTATTGCTGATTGGTCATTGTTATGGAAATACACATAAAGTTTTCAGTTAAAATAAAAATTGCGATATTTTAACACTAAAAGGGAATTTTATAATTTGTGAAGCATTTAGATATTGAGGCTACACTGAGGCGAGGAAGGTACATCACATATGAAAACTTTGTCCTTCCATAAGAATCGAGACAATGTAAATTTTGTGTACAAATGATATCGAAGACAACAACCTCAAATGTAACTGATATCTTCAATTAGTACAATACAATACATAACAAAGAGACAAAGACTTTGCTGGCAAGCATACTTTTCAATTCGACCACCCGTTTGATTTATCCAGAGATATGTCGGGATATACAAATATTTCAATGTTTTAAAATTCTTCACACAAATTGTATTTTACATTCATTTTATTTCAACCTTTTGAGACTGAAAGAAAATTCGAAAAGTTGAAATGACAGAGAGCGATGCTCAAATATATGGACAAGAAGAACAAAATAAAGTAGTACGAGTATGCAGTCTGTCACAGTAGACTACAGACAGTCTTCCAACTTCGCCAGACCACTAATGTGAATGAGGAATCATCACAAAGTGTGCAATTTTCAATTTTGACACCACTAAACACAAAAAACGATTCACACAGAAATTTTTAAAATATATAAAATATCCTTCTAGCAAAAAATATAATCTTTAACCACCCACTAAAAATTTCGAAGCAATTGGTCCAGAACTTAATAAAGAGAGAGACGTTTTATTCAACAACAAGAAGAAAAGAAATTCCAAGTCAAAAATAAATCGATTATTTGAATATATTCAAAAATTATGTTGTTAAAAATCTAAAGAGGCAGCCGAAATTCGCAGTTTGAGTGCATCATCTCACTCGGCGGTATGCTCGGGTATTCGGGCACCAAATGTTCTTTCGAGTACCGCAGCATTTTTTACTAGACTATTTTGGTCGATCACCAGATTGTCTGAATATCGAGTCGTTGGAATATTGATCACTATTCGAAATATTGATTATTCTAGTTTTGGCCATCGCTGCTCATATCCATAGGACCATAATTTAAAAAATTGAATAGTTAATAATAAAAGAATTCACCTCTTTTGGTCTGGCAATGTTATAAGATGTTCTGTCTGGTTCATTTGTCCTCGTTATTGGTTTATCCGATCTCACTTGAACAAATCCACCAGCTGTCATCACAACTTTTGTTCCAGCCAATCGAAGGGGACTCGCTAAAAATCAAACGATATTGAATATTTATATACATGTTGGTAATAGAAGCCCCCAGCTGGAGTTTGAATAAACCGTGGCCCTGAAGCCAATGTGATTTCCAACAAGCCCCCCCTGGTACCTTAAAACCTCATTTTCTCAACATCTGTCCTGTCAGTGGTCACATATACAGAGCCTTGTTCAGAGTGGTAATGTCAATAAACAGCTTATAAAAAATGAGTTGTTCTTATGTTGTTGTTGTTTTTTCGGAATGTTACCCTACTAATGGAATGACCGTTCTAAATATGAGAGATAGGGAGAGAAAGAACACATTCAGACAGTCGATTTAGTCTATTTAAATGACCTAAACCCTAACCAAAATGAACAGGGTATACAGAGCATAAACTATCACAATAAATGTAGACTGTCAAAATGAAAGACAATACGAGATGTCTATAGGTTTATGATTTCAACCTATAGAACTCTGTGTGTTGAATTAGCATTAGAAGAATATATTTTTCTGCACTTGAACAATAATGAAAAAAAAGTTAACTTTTATAGTTTTTAACAGTAGTTCAGTTTCTCAAATTATAAATTTATTGAGGGCAAAATTATTGTTGTTGCAATCAATGAATTTCAATTTTTTAATACTTCTGGATGGAAGAAATCCGCCTTTTTTGTTAATTTACAAATTTAGGGTTTTATAATTTGTAGATATATACTCCGTTATTTCATTGCATTGTTTCTATAACATTTCTTCATGTTTTAACAGTTGCTTAAATGCTTGTTAACAATTATTTCATTAACTTCATAATACAATTTGCGATGAAAAGATAATGCTTCGTTTCTATTCCATGTGCATGGGCACAAATTCATTTCACATTCTTTACTTTTAGCACGGCTGGAATTATACTGACATTTTGACAATCATATATACCAAAAGCCATTTGACCTCTTTAATAATATGTAAAGTAGAAAAATTTGAAAATAATATCGCGTAAAATTTATTCACAGTTATGGCACGCCTTCTTGATTACACTAGCGAGGCTAAATATAATCAAATATTTTCTTGTGGGAAGTGGATTTCAAAATGCCACGAATACCGCCATGTCGTTTTCACCACTTGACGCTGCGAACAAACTACAAAAAGTGTAGGACACTTCACTTTATCAAGTGGCCATTACTTTGCTTAACATTGGAAATAGTCGCGGCTTTGCTATTGTATAGGACTGCTTTACAGTCTATAAACAATATAGCATGGGGTGTATAGTAATTCAGTCATTATGATAGGTTTATTAACGCATCATACTTGATTGAATATATTTCAAAACCCCTTGAAAACTTTTACCTTGTTGACATAATTTTGTGCTAAGCTGGTCTACAGAGTAATGTTTGCCCTCAGTACACAATGGGAATTTTCATCATGAAATGTCAACGATTCTTGGTTCAAAACATATGACTCACTTTAGGGGTTATATTATGCATGAATATGGTACACTATTTCTTTAAAATTTAATATGTTCAAAATTCGACCATTTCAAGACAAAAGCGTGAACGTTGAAATTTTGAAAAAATATTTATTGAAAAAAAAATGGGTTTCAAATCAAATTTTGAAGCCATATTTACCAAAGTAACATGTCAATGAAAAGTTGGAATGTTTAAAAGTCAAAAATGTTTCTTAATGTTTCTTTCTTTAAATTCTTAAAACAGTTCTTTTTTCAAGTTTCGCTTTTTTGGGTTAATAAAGCCCTCGAAATTATCCACTGTTTTGACAGATAAAATTGAAGAATCAAAATGTTCAAAACAAAACTTTCCTATTTTTTTCGAAAATATGAATTTCCTGTTTTAGGGACATTTCAAAATTTTGTTCAAATAATTTTCCATTTTGATTAATAAGAGTGGCATTGAACAAACTGAAAGGAGCAAAAGGCTGAGAAGGTCGGAAAAGAGATAAAAAATATTCAAAACAATTAATTTCGAATCTCCTATATTCTCAATTCCAAAATCATTTTGTACCATTGAAGTACTGTAAGTTGACCACAAAAACCCACAGAATTTACGTTATTAAAATGAAAAACAGACAATCACCAATTATCTGAAGGTGTCCTGCATAACTCGTTGATATGCATTGTCTACTTTGTGTTGCATGTTGAACGTGGACCAATTCAAAATACACTCAATATTCCTTATTCGAAAATATTGTTTCAAAATGTATTCGCAATGATAGATTATTGAGTAATGATAATCCTCGATATAAACATCCAAATATTGAAACAGTTACACAAAACATACCAAACTAATATGCCTGCGAGGAGTTGGGTAACCACTAGTGAGCTGTTCACAGCTGGGAGGCTGAATCTAGTGTTTATAGCCAGGTGTATAAGCCGGTTATTCGTCACTTTTGAGTTTATTTATAATATGATATACATTATGCAAAACCTATCATTAGAGCATTAAATTTTAATCAATGTTATTCGTGATACCTCAAAAAAAAATTGAATTCAACGACTGATATTTTATAGAAATTGTTATAGAAATATATATGTTATGGAAAAGACCAAAACTTAATACCGAAAAATATTCCCAAACATCGGGTATCGAATATATACTAATTACAAAATTGGTCAGTTTTAACAGAAAATTTTTAACAAATCATGGAATTCATAAATATCAGAATTAATAGTTGAATTAAAAATCATTCCAATGGATTTTCTTTTTTATATATTCAAAGTTTTTTCTTTGTCTGACCACCAGATTTAAAGTATTTAATAATAAAATCACACACTTAACTAAATTGGAAATATTCCATAACATTCCTGAAACAAGAAATTTAGTGTTGAATATAACCAATCCAAAATGCATTCGACTATTTCATATTTAAAGACAACATATGCTAAGATTAATAAGTTAAACATGAGCCACAAAAAATGTCTGAGTTCTAGAATAAAAGCAAACAATACATACCAGTAGAAAGATAATTTATACAGAGAGACTGATATAAAACTGTCTGAATACAAACCAGACAAATATTGTAAAATAATTTGAAAAACGAAACATAATACTAAAAGTATTTGATTATTATTAATAAATACAAAGTTATAAAAACATGATGCCAATACAACTGCCATCTTAGCATTTCCAGAAATTTGGGGTATTTAGCCATATTATTAATTGATATGGAAATGGGAATTCCTGAATAATAATCGCTCAGTAATCAACAATTGTTTCATGTCATAAATATACTTTTTTATCCGAAAATATTTCGTAAATATGTATTTAACTGCTCTTTATTAAACACATTACGAATGTGTTTGTGAAATTAATATCGTCACAGGTAATATATCATATGTAGGGGAAGGTGGGGTACGTTGGGACATGGGGCACAGTGGATAATCAGCTATCACACTGATACTATATCCGCAATCCTGTCCGCGGCTCGATGTTCCAATCCGCCCTTCGGTGAGTTACAACGTCCCCGCGAACGGACAACGGACGGGTAGAGCGGCGCAAGCTATGGGGTGAAATTGGTTTTGGGAGGTTGAAAAAAAAATTTCACCGTTCCAGTTTTTTCTTTTTTTTAGTTTAGCCTTTCCAATGAGACAAACCATCGTCTGATATTCTTTAGCGTCAGTCCACTGTAAAATATTCCTAACGATAGCGATTGGCTGTGCCTTCCGAATTTTGCCGTGGGATGGTCTGAAAGTATTTGTTTCCTATGGGGAACAATGGACCGGGGTTCAGTGGGACATGCTCTACAGGGCACAATTCGACAGTGTTTGATACAATAAGTGCCTAGAGACTTAGAGATGCGTTATATTTTGTGTAATAATATGGTTTCTTTTGGCCCATGGCCCAATATGGAATATATTCGAGAATCAATAATATTTCCAGATTTAGATTCGAGGAAGGAAATAATCAAATTTTTTTGCAAAATGTTTTGTCAAAATATCTGAACTATTTCAGTTGAACATTGATTTTAAAAATATTAAATCTTCAAATTCGAAGTCTCCCCGTACTTTAGACGATTATGCTGATTAATTGCTTATTTTTAAGGGCATACTTCGTTGAATTTTGACAGACTGACCCATTGTGCCCCAGGGTCTGTCCGATTGTGCCCCACAAGTGGGGTACAGTGGGACACTTGACAGACGTTTTTCAAAGCATTTTGGTAGTAAGATGTGTGTCGCAGGGGAATTTTTTTGTTGCTGAATAAAAACTACATTTACCCCTCTATGCATTAGTCCCGCAAACTTAAGAGAATATGCAGAATTAACGGCTCAAAATATGCAAAAAAAAAAAAGTGTCCCAACCTTCCCCACTTTCCCCTAGGTAGTCTGGTTGGTAAACATCAAGTCAAATACTAAGTTTGCCAACGACTCGTTTGAAATCTCAATTGAAGACATGCTTTGTGGAATACAAATATCGAAAGCCAAGTGGCAAGTCAGACTTTGGTCAGACAAAATCAAACAAAATATTGATCAAATTTGAAAGAATTGAAGCCAGTACGAAGATTCACCATCACCGAAATGGAGCCCGAAATCAATCTTTTTTGCAAGCACACCAGTCTTTATATTGAAAGTTTTGTCAATTTTATTATTTTTTTCAATATTCTGTGTATTATTAAATTTCACTATTATTTTTATTTCGGAGGGTCACGAAAAATTTGGCTGTGGCAAGTGGGTTATGGTGAAAAAAGTTTGAAAAAGACTAGAATAAGACTCTGATATAAGTTGCCAAATTATGAAACTACTCTGGACTAAATGATTTCAGTTTTAACATAGCCTACTCAAATAATTACCCAATGAATACTGAGTGTCACTGTGTTGAAACAATGGCTTGATTACTCAAATTGATTTTGTAAAGTGTCATGTCAACAATCTAGCCTGTAAATATGATATTTGTGACACTGCATGTATTCCACTTGACCTAATTAGCAATGTTTGATGAGACAAATAAAAAAGGTACAAAACAAACATGGCTACTTTTTTCCCAAAAGCATGTCATGAGCATGTTCAACTCAGCATGTGATTGGATTCAGATTAGCGAACTTTTCTAAAGCATAATATGACTGAACACAGAAATTTTGGTAAAAGTTTAACAGTTTCAAAAACCATGAGTGTGCATTACTAACATAATTGCCTATAAAATGTAAAAGAATTTCGTTTACATAACCATGAGAACCCTAAACATTTGCAGCAGTACAAATATACGTAATGCAAACATAATGATGCAGAAACCTTTGCAAAAAATATTTGTACAATAGAAGAGAGAGGAGAGGAATGTTTCAGTGAAAGAGTGTGTTATTAATTTGTACTGATTCAACTATTCAATGATTAAGATAATTTATTAATTAAACAAATTAACAGTTATACCCAATGAAGGCCATGTATAATTATTATGTGATAATATTCATTAACGCCACACAGGGTGTGCATAAACAATTTGCAGATGACATTGACAGCCGATCTGGCTCCAATTAGAGATGTATCATCCCAGCGAGTTGTTTTACAATTTCCTTCCGTAATTTATATCAAAAATTTTAATGTTTTTAAAATGAAGCTACTCTGCTTTAAATTAAACTTTTTTAAATTTTAGTTCCTGAGTGGAATTATTTGGCCGTGCCAAGAAGATCGGAATGAAAAAAAGTTCGGAGAACACTCGTACAGAGATTCCTCAAGCCTCTGCCCCTCCGGTATGTTTCATTGGGGTTCCGCTCTACCAAGTTCAAAAGCATCTTCCAAATATATTCAAATCAAGTTTTTCAAACAGAGCAGGATTATCAAAATCAAGTTGCATCTGCCTTCATATCCGTTCAAAAAAAATCAGCTATTCTGGTATTTTAGTTTTTCACTCAGAAATGGAATTTCCAGGTTTACCTATTCAATTTATAAACCATGGTAACGGTGGTTGGCTTTGTGAAGTGCTTTACCACAGGAATGTACCACAACGAAGTAAAACACATCAAAGGTTCATTAGGGCATTGAAAATTGCATGCATTACCAGGATAAAACACCTTGTTAATGGCTGATTAGCTCTAATTTGCTTGAAGGAATTCGAATCAGATTACTCGTTGCTTAACTTGCTAAAAACAAGTACATTATCAAGTTCATTGTGAACTGAGAAGTCAAAACAACTTATTTTGAAAAAAATATTTGTATTCAGAGTAGAAAAAAACTGTTTACATGTTTTTCCGTGATTCACATTGATTATTCAATGTCAATTAATCTAATAGGCCATAGGTTCTCAAAGTGCTCCGTACGGAGCCCCAGGGCTCCGCGAGAGAAACCCAGGGGCTCCGCGAACTCTTCAGAATACTGACTCAAAATTTTGTAACTGTTCAAAGAAGCAATAACAGCATTGATAAAATCTGACAACAATATAGCCTCGAAATATGGTAAAGAGGCGGAATTAAAAAATGACATTATTTATAAGCAGGAGCGCAGCCAGGATTCTTAAGAGGCAGGTGGTTCAAAATTGGAATCGGAAATTTCCACGCAACATTCTTCGCGATTAAAAAAACGGATAACGAGATTTCTGTTGCGTAAAATATTCAATCCATGACCGATGCGAGCATTTAACGTGTCTCGTTGTTATCGTGTAATTGTGCTCATCGTTACTCACGTTTGGTTCGAGATTACTATTAGGATTACTAAAGTAAAATGAAAGAATACTATTCCAAAATAACATAAAATATGTGATAAACTGCCACCGACCGATGCGAGCATTTAAAGTCTCTCGTTGTTATCATGTAATTGTGCTCATCGTTACTCACGTTTGGTTCGAGATTACTATTAGGATTAATAAAGTAAAATGAAAGAATACTATTCCAAAATAACATAAAATATGTGATAAACTGCCAACTATAAATAAATTGGAGTTGTATTTTGCGATCTTGGGATTTGTCAAACTTGATTTGTTCTTTTGCACTTGAGATTATTTTTAAGCAAGATATCGGCTTCGGCATTCGGCTCTGTCAGTAGTTTCAGAATGAAAAAAGGTACATCGCGGATCGCGCTCACAATTGACTGTGTTTCGATTTCGCAGTTACTACGATGAAAACCTGACATAACACCAAATTTTATGATTTACAATGTCTATAAAAGCGTTTTCAATCTGAGGTGAGTCTGCTGAAAACGAAACGTGTGATCTTCCATTTTAAGTTTCAGTTTTAATATTTTAGAAGGCGTTTTTCAATTAAGAAATTTGAGTTGCGGATTTACCTCTTTATTACCGGTAATTATTATTTTTAGCCTTTCATCGCCGATGACTATAATATGGTAACATGTTTTTCACATTAAACTCATACTTCATCACGAGAACAAAAAGCAATTAACGTCGTCATTGTGTAACAATACATGTATATGCCGAGGGAAATTTTTGATTTAGGGAGAATAAACACCGGCGTAAAGATGTTTAAAGGTTCAAAAACACGCCATGCTGACGAAAAAAATCGGCGATTGTAACAAAATGATATCGCGCACGTTATTAGCGGCCTTTTAAGTCTTTCAATGTCAAAAGGGAAAAGATTCGCCCCCTAATTTATCAATATGTTGGTCAAGTGTCAAATTTACAGCTTTAGTATAACGTCACGCTAATAACCGAATTGCGTAGGTCATTTTTAGCAGTTTTGAGAAAAACGTAAAAAACTTCCTAATGATATTGTTATGCCATTGAGAGTCAATAATTTGCCATGGTTCAATTTTTTGATCGTAGCCGAATTTACGTTAATTTGTATGACGCAGTTAAGTGACGTCATAATGGCGCACTGTGACTCAGCCAGGAATGTGTCTATGACTTGGGGACATACGCAATTTTGCAACTTTACTATATGCACCAGTCCTGAAAACTAAACATTCCAAAAACGAATGTAATTCTTAGTATCTACAATGCCTAATCCCCAAAATAGCTAATCAGTTTCAATTACATTATTTTTCATGTTTAAAAATATATATTTCATCAATATAACACGTTCTGCACACCCATCGAAATAAGACTAAGATTAAATATAAAGAATAAAACAGCAATGCACCCAATATAAAAACCAACCAAGGTGAATTGGACTCGGACAGTGAATATCGCAAGTGCACGTCTTCCTATACTGTAGTATAAATTCAAATTAATACGCGCTAAGCTAGAATCCGAGATGCAAAAACTCGAAAATACCTCGCCGAGGTTATTTTGCCTTTGTGGCGTCACAATACTCCTACGGGAACAATGATAATTCATTATGACGAAACAATTGCACAAATGTGCATGTCATACTAAATCTCTATTTTTATTAGTTTCGAAATTCTTAAAATAAAATCTGAGTTAACAGACAGGTGCACAGCATTACATAAATACATATTTTATAAAAAAACTCAAGATCGCCAAAAATGACTTACGCAAATCGGTTATTAGCGTGACGATATATAATTTGTTTGAAATTTAGATTCAATATGACTTGTGTTAACCCTATTAAAAAGGGTTCAGCATTTAAAATAAGTAAAGTACTTTTAACTTGCTCAGGAATATTAATCTGAAAGTAGCAATTTTAACATTTATTTTGGGGCTCCGCGAATAATATTCAACCTTTCAAGGGCTCCGCAACACCAAAAGTTTGAGAACCCCTGTAATAGGCCATATCGGTATATTAAAAACAAACAGTTTATTTTGTGAATTGTTTGGTTTTTATACCAATCCTTACTGATTTGGTATCCCTTATTTTTATAGTTACAGATACTTAACCTAATAAAAAATTTTGTGTGTGCTATCAATGGCCAAGTAGCGGTTTACGTGGTAAACTCGACTCAGTTGACTGTGTTAGTACTGCAGTTTACACATCTCAATTCAAATCTCATGCACATCAGATCACCCAGAGTGTGATAAATTGTTTAGGCAATGCTGTAGTGGAAGGATTTCGGTCCTTGCACATCGTTAGATTTCAGATGCTTATACAGGGCCTTGTTCAGAGCAAATAGTCTGATAAGCGTTGAACGGAAGGCTTGAATAGGTAGGCTATCGTATGAAAATTACAATGAGCCAAAATTACTCAAGCAAATAAAAAAAATGAAACAATTCAGGTCTCCTAAGCACCTAAATTCTGAAATTCTGTGTCAATTATTTTATTCGAACGAAAATTCTGGTTCAATATTAATCCATAAAGTTGAATTACAGTGCATGAACCATCGTGTGTACTGTGTACAGAGAAAATATTTACAATTACATACATTATCGGAATATAATAACTTATTGGCCTATCATTTCCTGACTGACAAGAGCTCTGTTGATTGATTACGCAATGACATGGCAGACAATTCGTCAAACATAAAAATGATTGTTATGTCATAATAAAAAATAATTTTGTTTACAGGAGACCAGAATAGAATAAAGTCCATTCCTACCTTTTTTGGCTTTTCCATATCTTCTAATATTCAGAGATAAATTTCCAGTGATAACACTTGATACAATCAATTGTACGATATCGTCTTGTGTTTTACAATCAGCGAGAGGAACTTCATTTATAGCAAGTATCTCGTCACTCACACAAAGATGGCAAATGTCAGCGGCACCACCTTCAATATACAGGAGGTTATGAATGTCTATAGATTTTATATATTATATGAACAGAGAGAGCCAACAATATAAATCACTACAGAACAGAAGTTCACAATCACAACAAAAGATAAATTTATCACGCAATTAAGATATAGGCACTCTTGCGGCAAATAAACCATCTGTAGAACGGTATGAGTAAACGAAATCATTCGTTATTAAAAGTCACAAGTAGGGATGTAAGTTTCAGAATTTTAAATCTTTGGGATTTGTACCAACATCAACATCACGACATAGCGGAATTGTGTCAAACATCGACCAAAAGCGTTAATTCTCCTTACGTTTACAGCTTTTCCAAGTCAGGAGCTGGTATATTTCATATGGGTCACAGTTCCCTCAACTTTGTTCGACTATAATTTTGCGATGCTTCCATCAAAATCATTGATTTTTTAAAAACATGGCACATACCATACTACTGCACATTTAATTAATTACAGTTTATCATTTGGATGGATCTTGACTAAATAGAATCAGATACGAAATTTGATTCAAAATAAAATATCAAATATGTTAAAAATCATGTCACAGAAAACTTTTTTTTCAACATTGCTTCAATTGATCTCATATTTACAGAGTGAGAAGTTCAACTTGAAAATTGAATTTACTTTTTTGCATGACAAAAAAATCAAGCATGGCTAACCTGGACTAACGGTATCGACAATGACTGGTTTTCCATCATCGCCACCTCGAACAGTAAATCCAAATCCCTTTTCGCTTCTGGGTCGTTGATTAATACAAATTTTCATGTCATCAAACAAATGGTCTCGCTCTTCTGGTTGACGAGTCGGAACTGGCAATGTTGCAGCCTTGTTGACTCGAGGTGATGTCATGGACTATGAAAAGAGAAAAAAATGAAGAAACTATTATCTCTATCCCTCAAACTCTCTGCGGCAAAAAAATCCGAATGGATAGCCTACTAATAAATAAAGAGGGCAATTGTCAAAGAGAAGGTTATAAAATGGCTGATATGGCACTGCAATGATAAAGAAATTTGTCCAAATGCTATCAATAAATTGAACCAAAAGGCATCAAGGCTTGCCTGGAAAGTATGAAAAACCAGGAAATTTAAGGAGAAATATTGGGTCCTTGGGATTTGGGGATAATTTGAAATAAATTGAAAGGAATAACCTTCTTGCGACCTCTTCTATCTTCGAGAACTGAAAATTTGAACATCTATTGCCCCATTAGTTACGAAAAAGCAATTTTTTTACAAAAACCTGAACAGGATTGATACTAACTTAGCAAAACGATATAATGCGTGTATCAAATAACCAAATATTCTTTTGAAATTAAAAATTCTCACCAATCCACTCAATGATAAAGTGGCAGTTTGACTTCCCTCTTGCTCAGATAAATCGAGTGATGCTGACTTTGTAAATTTTCGAGTGGATGATGTGAATTGGGCCTTTGATACTAGAGGAACTTTGGCGGGATGAGCTGTTTTACCAGTATTAGTAGGAGCAGAAACAGACGAAGTAAATTTCTGGTATATCTCTGGATTTATATGCTTCCTGTTTAAATTAGAGTCTTTGTTTGTTTGATTTTGTTTTGGTGCTGCATATTCCGAAGTCACAGACTGATCCTGGGATCTCCTAGTGATGAGAAGTTCGCTAGAGGAGCTTCGTCCGTGAGCAGGTTGAAATTTCTCAGCCGCAGAACTCGGAGGTTCGTCTGTTTCCGGTTTGCTCATATTTTCCCACATGCTTCTACGGTTTGCAAAATTTGTCTTGCGATACTTGGTAAAAGAACTAGCACCAGGAGTAAAAGGTTTCGGAGCTGAATACTCGTGATAATTCCTTGGTAAAGTACTGCTACTCCCGGTAGGCAACTCGTGTGCTGATTTTGGTCGTTCCCTAGAAAATACACAAAAAATATTAAACAATGCTCATCGACGACTTGTTTCATCTGCGATGCTAACACAGTGAAGTCGCATGCTTCAACTGTTCCACCCGGAAACGATTATAAATGAATCATGAAAAGGGAGCATTCATTGCACTGAAGCTCATTGGTTATACATTAAAAGTAAGTACAGCGCAATGCCAATTTACGACACAGGAACCCAGATAAAGATAAATTTGGGAAATACAATATCCAGATCAAAATGGCACTCAGCAAATATGTAAATGACATATTTATCCCATTATTTTGTCCTGTATGATTTCAACAAGACTAATTTGAATACCGAATAACTTTTCAAAATGTGTGTGAAAAAGTATTGCAATAGCACCATGCATGCGGTAAAATTCAACTAATTTCAAACTACAATACGCCAAATAACAAGCACAACAGAAGCAAACTTATGTTAATGTCAATGTTAAAAATGGTAATCAATACGCAATAACAGTTTTGCAAGAAATTGAAAAAAAAATCCAGCCATTTTAGTGGTTGCTTGACTGTAGCATTGTCCAGAATATAACATTAAATAAAGAAAGATATTAAAATAATGAAAAGTGCTTACTTCCGCGCATTTGGATTTTTAGTTCTCATTAGAACACTAGGCACATTGCTACGAGTTTCTCTCTGAACAGGTTTTGATTGCGGAGTCATTTCATACGAAGACCTTTGGGGCGGTTTTGGTCCTCTCTGGACTGGGCCACTATCGCTTGGATCGTAGGAGTTGTAGATACCGCCGCGAGGCAGTGTTTGGGATTTCGATGGAGTATATGACAAACTTGTACTCCTGACATCGCTATTGTCTTGGCTTTTGTTTGGAACTCTCTCGTAAGTTATAGTGCTTCTCATTTGAGGCTGTGCTTCGTAAGAGGCGTGTTTGTTTTCTGCTTGGGTGTTATTTATAACAGCAGTCACTTTGGTCGTGTATTTGTATTGTACTTGAGAGCCATTTGTTTTTGGCGCTTCTTCCCTTGATGAATAAACATTTGATGGCTTAGTTGCTGCGGTTTTATTCTCCTTTTCCCTGATTTGTACGTCTCTTACTAGCCCTTCGAACGTATAATTGCTAGAGTTGGTCGGACTCGTAACAGTAGATGATCTAGGACTTACAAACTCATATTCGTCGTGGTCGTTTAATTGAGCAAGCTCTTTATCTCTTTTCATTCTGAGAAGCAAAAATATCAAGGTTTTTACTTCTGGTTTATTCAGCTACATGGGTTCAAACCCCGTTGACACCACTTTACTGTAATATCTTCAAAAAATTTAACATTGATTACAACTTTATTTTATTATGGTATATTTTACTATAAAAAGGATTTAGAATTATATATTTACTAATTATAATAACACACAAATTTTTAATATTGATTAATTTCGGATTTCAATAAAACTGAAATTTTCAGACAACCCTAATTTCAACGGAGTATTGCAGTAAAAGTTGGAATTCAATGAATAGGCCTATTCAATTAATTAGAAATCACTGTTTTTTATTCTGAAACATGCCAATTTCTCAATCAAAATTCTGCAAATTCGATTTGGCTGTAAAATAGATGAATCTACTTTATTATTTGAAATCAAAAAATTTCAAATTTATATTTAGATATGGAGTCTTGCCAAACTCTTGAATAAAAGCATCGTACTTGTCTTCAACAATTTCTTTATACGTCTTCGTCTTCTTTTTGGCAGCTTTGTGTTCCAGTTCTTTCTCAATAGAATCTCTTTCTTCTTTTCTTTTTCTTGCATCCTCTGTTACGCTTCGTCTTCTAGATTTCCAACTTTGCAGTTTCTTAAAAGTAAAAATTGAAATTGAAAAAGGATGAAGTGTAGTTGAAATGAGAAACACAAACCAACTTCCTTCTTGGAGTTATTGATACAAAATGAGGATAACACTGAAGTACTGCTTCTAATGCCACCAGAAGAAGTTTAATAAATAGGGTGCAAACGATTAATCATTATTGGTAATTATATAGCTATTGATAAGCTGAGCTCAAGTTAAAAAATTTTGAGCGAAAAATTGCAAAATGTTCTAAAAGTGAAAATTTCTGACATCACAGGGTTCAACCTCATGCCCATCAATTCACACGAAGTGTAATAATTGAGTAGGCAATGGTGAACTCAAGCCATTCAGTCTATTCCAGAAAGCTTCTTGTGGCCGCTTGTTCAGAGTGAAAGACATATTACAGTTGTATGAAAAAAAGATCAATCCAGAATTGAATTGGTGATTTAAATATATTTTGAACGATCAAGAAATGGATTACCGGTATATGTTTGGGTATGGAGAAATGAACTGTAGTGTTCAAATTTGAAAGTTCTATATAAATAATCCTGGGACGACGTCATGAATAAGTGCCACTTCAATACTGGAATTTAGATATTGGTAATTTTTCTCAAAACGGCTATGTACAGGGTGATGTGCAAACAGAATGCAGGTCATTTGAAACATAGCCTATTCTAGAGAAAACATAAATTTTGAGCAAAGTATCCTGAAGTACTGCAAATTTTGTGTACAATCGTACACAAACAGAAGTTCAAGTGTTAAATGAATTTTCTTCATTATAGTAGAAGTAAATAGGACATTTATGGGTTCTTTTTTATGAGGCCACCCTGTACATCTCTATCGCATCGCAGATTGTTAAATTTTGAATTATTCAACATAAATAAGAATGCTTATAGGAAGACGTTCGTTCTGGCATCAAACTTTTATAAATTTCATTTCGCCCGACAATAGTCAAGAGTAGGTGCATAATATGAGTACACTAACACAAATACAGAACTCGCGTTGCACTTTCCCAATCTTAATTTTGTAATATTTCAGTTGTCCAAAGTCAAAGTCAGTGTGTGAAATCAAAAAATAATAAACTTTCAAATGGAATGTTTATACAAAACACAGTTATCCATCAATGATAGTTGAAAATTCATCCACACAACATCACATTTATTACTTCTTAAATGTTGAGAAAATAAACAAATTCCACAAGGCAATTGATGCATGACTTTAGAAGAAAGCTATTTGTGTGTTGACTTAGTTAAGGAATTACGTCAGCTCCATCTGGAAAATATGTCAAGATGACGATAGTCACCTACATTGTTTAGTGTTGACTTTGCCGATTCCGCAATTTATTATTACAGTAAGTTATTCTGATTAAAAATCTAAAATCAGGGATGTCCAAAATAAAAGGAATATTCAAATATATTCGAAATTCATTATATTCGATATAGTGAATTTTTGAATTTAGAATAATTTAGAACATTTTTATTCAAAAACCAAGAATTTTAAGCCGTCAGATAAGGAAATCAAAACATACAATACTTCAACTGGTAACAAACAACACAGAGATCCCAATGACCTTTATATTTATGTTGTTTTACATCTAATCAACATGAGGATATAGAGATTTATGTAATTCCCCACATGAAACTGCCCCCAACTTGTATGTATTCAATATTTCATATTCGAAAATATTTTTTTGGAATGTCTGCGGAATAATACAATATTTGGTTTTGACTATCTCTGCTTTGCAATATGTGAAAAACCATTATCAGAGCAAATTATTTTTTCATCTGGAGTTTATTAAACTTGGCAGACAGTGCTGAAGCAGAAATACTCAACCCTTCTGTGAATAGTAGGTGTTTATTATACTTAGTTTAGAGCAGGGGTGGACTACGTTTTTGAACCAGGGGCCAAAAATTTTGCCCACCTGGACTGGTGGGCCCGCCATGTAAGTGTGACATAAAAAGTTACATTTTATGAACAATATTTACAGTGTCACAATGCAAAGGTGGAAAACAATATGCTTCGAGTCAAAACTAAATTTAACCACAATGCCAACAAATTCCTTGAGCTAATTTTAGCTAAAACATCAAAATTTGATTTCAGTTTGGTTGTGGCAGCACTAGGCGGGCCAGATTGAATTAACCAACGTGCCGGATTTGGCCCGCGGGTCATACTTTGCCCATGTCTAGTATACAGAAAAAGAAAACGTTTTTTAAGCTCTGCGTGACATTTATACATAGCAGACCACACAAATAGAGCTTTGTCATTCTGCGCAGCTGTTTACTCAATTTTATAGAAGGACTTTCCATTCAAATCGTATCAGTGAAAATATGAATCACTATATCATAGAGAGAAAATTTTTAATTTTTTTTTGTCAATAGGAATTATGGTAGCATCAAATCATAGATTCCGATTTTGGTGAAGAAAACATATATCATGTGTGTGTGACAAACTGTTTTAAACCATATCGGTTATGAATCCATGAAACATGCAATGATTTGTTTTAGAACAGAATATAGAATACATACAAAATATAGGTAGGATATATGTAATGGTTTGAAGCAGCATTTTTTGGTATTTCCGAAGTATGTGAACTAAGATGGCGGACACCGGGACGTAGTATGTGCACCAGGTTATGGACTATGGTTAGGCAATTTCATAATTTAATCCCATTTTTTCCAAATTTTAGTTCTATTATGAATTCGGTGACTAGCCAAGTGACTAGTATTTGTTCCTGAAATTATGGCCTAACCCTAACCTGGTACAGATACTACATTCCAGTGTCCGCCACCTTGGTTCACATACTTCAGGGAGTACCCATTTTTTTTACAATAGCCTACCAATGATCATACCAATTATGAAATAATAGGAAAAAGCAGTGTGTGGCCAAAATGAAACATTCGAACACAATCAGAATCTTATAATTATTAAGTTTGTGTAAAATTCACTGCTGAATATAATTCATTTTACAAAACATATTCGATATTCCCTTTTCAAAAATATTCTTTGAAATATTTGGTTTTTGGACATCCCCGTGCTCTAGTGACAGTTAATAAAAAAAAATTTGATAGTATAATGAAATCGCACATATCGATAAGATCACCATTACTGAAATTATAAAGTGAAAATGAACGAAATAACCTCATAAAATGCTGTAACAATAACAATAGTTATCTCATTCTTGCCACCATACCGTAATTATAAACATATAAGTCCCCTAGCACAGTGGTTCACGAAATTTTTCAATAAATTTCCCCCTTTGGGTCTTTTGGAACTCTTTATTCCTGCCATGTTATGCATACAAACTAAACTTCCGTTGTTAGTGCGACCTTTAATTGACCTAAGCTTGTGTTGGGCACAAGTCGCAATCTGGCATTTGTTTAAAAACAGTAATACTAAACAATATTAAAACAACACAAAATCCAAACAAAAATTCCCTCCCCGAAAACACCATTATTCCTTCCCGGTTTGGAAAGGCTGCATTAGAGCTGCGTGCATAGAGGAAGGATAAGAAGCTATTCTCGCGTAACCCCAACTAAACTAAATAAATCGTATAATTACTCACTGAAGTCCACGTGTCTTCCTCTTCTTTGAGTAAAACTTTCAATTTTTCCATTTCTCCGTATCTTTCATTAATTTGATGTCGATGTGCTTCTTCTTCTTTCTTTTCTTCATTCAAGTCGCTCATACTTTTGCTTCTAAAATTTTAATTTCTGATGATTAGAAACGTAGAAAATATTAAAAGGCCAGAATTCGCAACATCAAAGAAATTTTTTCATGTCTTTCGCTTCAAACAAGGCCTAGTACAAGAAGCCATTATTAATGTGTAACAATATGTGAAGAGTTACTATTTTAAAAAGACTGGCCTTCCCTACCCAATTTATTACATCCTGTGTGAGATGATAGGTTTTGGAATGTACCGTAACTGAGATATTTAAACAGAAATGCCAACAGATGAGTGTGCCACTTTGACCGGGACGTCTTCACGTAACCGCCAATATGAGATAATATACTAATACATATAAAAAGGCAATATTCAACTTTATTTATATGATTTGTATTATTGAAAATATTCGCACAGACATAATTCTGAAAAAACTGAAAATTCGGCTTATACGCACATCATGATAAAGTCATACATTAATGGACTGGCGAAATATCTTTGTTGAGTTTGACAGTGATAGTTAGCAAGAATTTGAAGGATTTAGAGACATATCCTATTCTTATTATTAAAAGTAAAATAGCCTATAACAACAACGGTTATAATTTTCATCAATTATCTTCTGCAACCATTTGCTGTGATATTTGCTTACGTCGTGTTACGATTTTCAGGGTTTTCCTTATATGCGAGGATAAGTCAGTCATATTTTAAGGTTTTGAGAAAATCACATTTTTTCTATTAGTCTGGGTCCACAGTCAAACCTATCAATGAACATACGATAGACACTTTGAAACTTTGACCAAAAGATGGCCGCTGGCCCAAAATAACAAAGATAAAAAATCCATTTTTGAAAAATGAACACCAGTTACTTTCATTTTACTGCGGCAATATTTAGTAGTAACAATACTAATATTATTCTGTAAAGCTTATCCATAGTTCCATTTGACACTTCATATCCTAGTACTGGGAATAATACCACCAAATCACAATTTAATGATAACAACAGGCTATAATCTGTGATAATCTGTCTATTAATCAAAATAACTAAGGTTAAATACAGGATTAAATATTGTAATTATCAATTCATCGTAACGCTACACTCTATGATTTTTGTCACAGAGGTTATCCATAATAGTTCAGTTTATCTAAAATGTTGATTGAAAATCTTTTTTGGATGTAAAACTTACATATAATTGTTTGGGAAATATTTTTTGTTGAACCATTTGGCCAATTGATCTTGAATATTCAGTAGGGCCTAGTTAAAAATGGAAAAGTTCTCTAGAAGGTTACTAACACCTTAAACTTTTTTCTGGGTTGCAAGGGTCCTGTGCTGTTGAATCCTATATTTTCAATTTTCAAAATATATACCAACACATGGTTTGCTTTAGCTGAGTGCTAATAGAACAATATACGATGATAGTACCATAAATTCGAACATTATTTTCTTGCTTATTTAAATTAAAACCAATCCACTATACCCAAATTATGAAATAGTGCTAAAAGCTTTACATAATATACATAACAAAAGATTCCATTTTTCATTTATAAGCAATATCTCTATTTAAAATTGAATTAAATAGTAAATATATTTACATAATACAATATCTTTCAAGGCAAATCTCTCATAAATTTGCCCAAAATTCTGGCAGATAACGTTCTTTGTGTATTTTCCATAAATATGGGATGTATTATAACTCAATTCATGGCCCGGTAACGGTAAATAAAACATAATTGTATATAAGAAATCGGTACTCGTGAAGTATGACACCAAGATGTCGCACAACCTGAACCCTAACCTCGTACACAACCTGAGTTCAGGTTGTGCGCCATCTTAGTGCGCATACTTCAGGAGGTTCAATAAATCAATATCATATAACATTTAAAATGTTTTAACCAACCTCATGTGTTGTTGAAGATATGCTACAGGGTTTCCAGTCGGAGTTATAAATTTTTTATATTGTTCTTCATTTTTCTTTTTTCTCAGAGGTGCAGGAATATGAGTAGAAATGCGTCTACTTGCCATGTCATCTTTTATTCTGAGAAAAAGAAATGATTGTAAATGTAAAATAGCATCAAACTCTAATAGGTATTATGGTATTTGAATTTGATAAAAATGCATGGGAAATTATAATGATGGCAATGGATGTTGAAAATGAATAAAGCACTCAGAAACATTTTTAATTTATTGTAATCAATAGTGCAAAATATTTTTTGCAACTACAGTACTTTAGAACAGTGGTTCCCAATCTTCTATGGCTTTTGGGTTGTGGCCCCCACTCCCGGAGGCTTACATCACTCATGGCCCACCTGTTTATCATTCCAGTGGTAATTATAGTGTTAATATGAAGAATGAAACTAGGAAGAACGGGAAGTAATCTTGTCAAGGGAAATGTAAAATCAGTTTCGCGCCTAACATTGTGGCCCATCTTCAACCGTTCTTTGGCCCCCTTGGGGGGCCTCAGGCCCCCGGCTGAGAACCACTGCTTTAAATCATCTTCAATTAGAAACTTTATTTAATAGAACTAAATTTAGATCAGAAAGGCGAATAAAACATGTTTACCAATTAATGGCAACCTTATAAAATACTCAAGAATATTATGAATATTAGTTTGATTTATTAATAAGTAAACTTTCTGAAATACCTTTTTAATTTTTTTATGGCTCAATTTTTGTTAAATCATAATATTAAATTTAAGATGCAAAAACATATTGAAAAATCATCATCAAGAGTGGATAATTTATATGTTGACCATCCCTATAATAACATGCAAAAAAGATTCAATCTAATTTAAAAATAACTTCAGTTAGTTGGGAAATTGTTATCTAAAAATAAATTAATAAAGTCATTTCGAGAATCCAAATTAAAGAAATAGTGGTAAAACATAGTAATACGTTTTGGAGAAAGGTTTCTAAACTAGCCTGGAGTTAAATAACAATTGCTTGCAGCACACAAATTTTTCGAATGCCAAACAATTATGTGTAAACAATCACCTCATCACGTTGCCCTGCTCTAAACAATTTGCAATGCGTAAAATTTTCCAATACCAAATATGGAAAAAAGAATGAAGTAACTGCCTTAGCATGAAATTTTGATGAAATTGGAATATAAACAAAAGTTCTTGCTTTTGTATGCTATTTAATAGTAATTTGATGAAATTTGGGAAGGCTATATGAATATGATCTATTATAATTGAAATCTTAAAAAATATAAACAAATATTTACCTAAATTAATTTCAAATGTGTAAACTGAATCAAGTTTGAAGATACTCAAAATTTTGAATTTTAGAACTAATATTGAAATGTTGCATCTTTAAGAGTAACTTAATATCTGGGAACTATGAAAAATTGGTCATCTTATGTTTCCTGCATTTTCAAATTCAAATATATGAGATATACTTTGATGAAATATATAATACTGTGTGTTTTCGGTAGACCATGACTCAAATTACATTATTATAATATATTCTATATCCCATACTTAAAACTATTATTTTAGAATATATTCCGAATAATAAAGTACATATCTAGTTTCGGCTACCCCTGATTTCAAGACACAAAAATACATTCCGGTATGTCTGATGAATACATAATATAGGCATAATGCTGAAAAGGCAAACAACTAAATATACATAAAATGTATATTTCTTTTAGGATAAAATAAATTTTCAAAAATGTTGTTGTATGTGAAGAACATTCATTAAATTCCTGCAGTATTATCCAATGGAGAATTTTACAGTGAGGAGAATAAAGTCAATAACGTCATAGCATTTACAATAAAACGGGAAAATATATTAGATTTTATAAATTATGTGTTGAATACCTGTAATTACTATTACTAATTCCTATACAACAAAATAGAATACTAATTGTTAATTACTCACACATGTCCCAATTCATCTCCTGAACCTCCAGAATAGTTCGCATCAGTTGAAAGACGCATCATTGTATTTGTGTATGTGTTTTCAATCACAAATAATAATCCAAAATTATCATTCCAGTTTTTCCCACTTTTTTATTGTGTGATCGTTTCGATTTTAAATACCGGCATTAAAATAAACAAAATTTTTACATCATAAGGCTAAATAGATCTGAAACTTAATTAAGGAAAACACCATAGAAGCAATGAAAATAGGGTGCATACTAAACTTACAATACCGGTACCTAATATTAATGATTATAAGCAATTCCAAATCAGGCATGCATGGGAATATGGGATATTATAGAGAGCACACAAAATCCGAACTGAAAACATTTGAAAAATGCTGTAAAATCACTTGTATGTCTCAGTTAATAAAATCAAATTCAGTTGGGGAGAAAATAACCAGTGAGAGACGAAGAAGTAATTCAACCAATTCTAACGATTATAAGCAAAAATTTTGCAAAACAAATCACATTTTAAAATAATCCAACTTAATCAAATTTCAGATAATATATTCAAGATAACTGTTGCAAAAAATTCCATTTACTTAGTTTGAAATTCCTCGCAACAAACCCAAAATAAACCCTATTTTATTCAAAATGATTAGATTAAGAAATATCCAAATTCACGAGCATAGTGTGACAATATTATATTAAAACCCCAAAAACCTGAATTTCACAAATTCCATCAAGTAAAAAATCATTCTGTCAGTTATAGCTGTTATTAATTAATTGGTGATTATCGATATACAGTTTCGAGAAATATTTAGTGATCACTAATTGCTGAGTAAATAATGCTGTTATCACAATAGCAGAAATTATAATACCAAAATCGAAAGGCAACTTTTATAGCAGTGCAAAGCAAATATGCTAAAGAACTAAAGACCAATGGTTGAATGGATTTCACCATTGAATTAACTATATTGGCATTACTGGTCGAAGGTCTTAGCGCAATGAGGTCCAAAACAAAATCGAATACATTTGAGAATTATTATTTTCGGTATAAATTTTTTTTTAATTTAGGAATAATTTAGAATATTTTAATTCGAGAATTGAGGACTGAGTCGTCTGAAAAGCAAATCAAACCGTTCAATAAGATAACATACAACACAGAGAAAACAATGACCTTCTATATTTATGTTGTTTTAGATGTGATCAACATGGAGACAACCTGCCCCCAATTTAGAATGTATTCGATATCCCATATTCGAAAATAGTTCCTCAGAATGTATTTGGTTTTGGTCACCCTGGTTATGTTTGTATCCCAGTTAATAGTAAACTCAAGCCCACAGACTCATTCATGGTTTTACTGATTAGGATTCTTCACACAAAATTGACTACAAATTTTAGAGCTTCCTATCTATGAGTGACTGTTGATAGTTCAGAGGAATGGTAAACAGAAAAAGGCCCACCAGAATGAAATGTTTAAAATATCCAATTCAAATTTAGGAATCATAAATTATTTAGACAAAGATGCCATTTAGAAATTATTTTCTGGAGTGAACATTTAATTATGTATTGCTATGAGACTATTTATGATTGGTCAGGTCAAAAATATGAACAAATTTTAGGCAGTGATAATGCGGCAGTGATGTTTACATATACAGCAGAACAAAGATTACAAAAATCAAATATAACAACGACGAGTCAAAAAAAGACTCAAAATGATTGGTAAAATCGATACCACAGAATACGAATAGTTTTGAAGGGTTCAGAAATAAGAAAAGGATGGAATCCATATAAGAATTTTCAGCTACATAGCTAAAAATAGTTGTACAAGTTCGATAAGTAACGATTATTGATACCACACGTTGATGACAAATAATGAGCTACATACCGTATTTTAGAGACCATAAAATGCTCTTCAAATAGCGCCTAATGTATGGATCAGGTAGTGCTTTATTGGCTACCCTCAAAACCAGTACCATGCACATTATGTGTGGATAAACCTATAATCTAAGCAATTTATTGACGTTGCGCCTCATGGCCCGTGAATACGATACTCAAATCAGTGAATTAGATTAGGGAATTCAATATCAAATTCAAACCCCAAAAATTGAATCAGTTAAATAATTATATTGTAAATTTCCCTTCTTTACCATTACATATTATGGAAGCTGGCTACTTAGCATAAGCTTAGCAATGCATATGATGCTTATTATGGGCAAATTTCGCAAGATCATTTCATGTGCTAGTATTACTTTTTTACAATTCTTCCGATAGGAAATTAATATTCACAGGCCGGAACTTTAGATTCTACTTATTTCCACACCTAAGCTTTTTACAATGATTTCAAACATGAAATTTTATGTATGCAGTATTTCCAACTCTGATTTATTTGTATTAGTAGTCTTATTCAAATGAACAGATTTAAGAAACATGAAAAAAATCATGAACATTTCACTGTAATTCTCTTTTATTCTTTCTCCTGAAAGAACCGGCACGGCCCAATGCAACTGTGGCCGCTTTTACAGCCTTGGCAGCACCCCTTTTTCTTCTCACTGGAGGAGTTGGAGCTTGAAATTCATGACCTTTGGTGTGAGCGAGAATTCCCGGATAATGATTTTCAGGTCCTTGTAAACTCATCATACTCATTGAAGGTTTCATCATTGACTGCGATCCTGTGAATATATTCTCCTCATTTTCAGCTTGAAAACTTGAAGAACTCGACAATCTAGTGTGACGTTTAGGCGTACAAAGACTGTTGATGCTCATTCCAGGCGTCAAACCAGAAGTTGAAGATCCAGTATGGTAGTCGGAACCATCGCCATTTTCGTCTTCAAATAATTTTGATGCGGGCCACGCACGGGAAGGTGTTGCACCTAATCCAGGTGTTATGTGATTGTTTGATGCTACTGCTTTCATACTTGGGCTCATCATAGTTGAAACGGCTCTTTGTACCGTATTTCGTGGAGTCCGACTGAATGAAAAAGCACGCGTCAATTTCCTATGTGATTTTTTAGCAGCTCGGAAAGCCCTTCCAAAAGTGGAACCAATATCTGTAGTGCTAATATCTAAATCTTGAGAGGATAGAGTGTGAATAAAATTGTCATCACTGGTTTTGCAAACAGTATTAGCACGATGTCTAGAAATGAGCTGTAGCAGTCTATTTTTTCCTTCATCTCCCGTTAAAGTTGCATTAGGTTCCTGGTCCTTTTCGTCAACTTGGCCACCACATGTACTTGAACATGTCACAACTTTGAAAGTATACAACCAATCTTGAGTATCTGTTGGCGTACGACAGAACAATGAAAAAGCACTTTGGCAATCATCAGAATTTTTTATATTGACAACTTTTTTGATGTGGGAAAGTGACAGGAGTCTGATATGTTTGAGAGAGCGCGCAGTCGATTGAATTCCTGTGTGAACTTTCGGACTTTTAAAACTTTGTGTCTTTGCGCCGTGTTTTCTTTTGGCTATCTCAACACAGTCAGTAAACAGAAATAGACAAACATGATCTCCTTTACTCGTTAAATTATCGTCAACTGAGATTAATTCTGAGCGAGTTACGAACTGCCTATGTGAAGAAACAATTGTGGGTGGACATCCTTCAACTTCATAAACAATATCAAAAATTTGTTTTTGCGATTCCGTTTTTCTTTTATCTTCGTTGATATGGGTCATTACCTCTTTAACTGCATCCAGTGCCGTTTGAATTCCCAACACGTCCGGGTGATTTTTATTTTCCCTTTCTGTGTGCTTTTTAATATCTTGTAAAAGTAAAAGTATTCGGGGTAACCGTTGTACTGGGTTGATAAGTAATTCAGCAAGAGTTTGTCTTCCACATTCTTTCTTAGCTTGGTTAATTTTCAAAAATGCATGAAATCGGGGCATTGTAGATTCACACGAGTCAATCATCTCTTTACTCATCTCAAAGAAATTTACAAAAGGGGGATAACAACGCACAAATTCTTTAGCATATTTATCGACGATACATCCAACGCAGGATGAGTCACCCCATGTCTCCATAACGTTTGACAAATCGGCTGCCATTCTCGTGTGTACTTGATGAATTTCAGGTAACGATCCAAATATTACTTTAATATTTTCGCCAGGAAGTATAGGTCCGCCAGCTTGTCTTAAATCTTCAAGTGGCTTTTTGAAGACGTTTATAATTGTATTTAATATTCCAACATAATTTTTCTCGGTTTGTAAAAACTCCATCGCAACTTGAAAACGGGCAGACACAGCCTTTTTTACAGCGTTATTTGATGAATCTTTCATCGAATCAGATTGACGGGGTGAACTCCTTGTTTTTATATTATTTGAAATGTCAAGCATTAATGATTCGTTCATACACGTAGTCATATCAGTAGATTTTCGTTTTGATGCAGGTTGAGATCCGCAGTCCGGATCAGAATCCATCGCTAATTTAGCCAAAGTCTCTTCCTTCATTCTTGATCTTTTTCTACTGAAGGAATATTTCGACGAGGATGAGGCTCGTGAAACTCCAGATTCGCAACTTGATTTTCTATATTTATGTGGTGTACCTAGTAATGATGAACATGTAGAACTTCTTGTCATTGTTTGTTTTGTTTCGGGCATTTCGAATATGTAAATTGATTCAGCAGCCCTGGCTTCAATCTGTATACTGCCCCAGAACCATTCTTGAACAACAACAAAGAGTTTTCCTTTTGGTTCAAATGAAAGACTCGTAATGTTATTTTCATCAACGATTACATGTGTACATGATGGATCCCCGATGTCTGCTGTTTTTGCTCCTTGTTGCAATGCTTGCTCTTTCATATGCTCGCATTCTTCAGCAGGGAATCCATAGAAACTCAAAACGCATCCTTCGAAAGGTTTCGCTTTGCATGGAAAAACAAATTCATCATGAGTTGCATGAATTCCAGTTCTTTTTCTTGCGTTCCAACACAAATGAACCCAATCTTCTCTCATTATTGGTATGCCAAGGCTGACAGCCGTACGGTATTTTGGTCCGTGAAAGCCATTAGTAACGAGAAAATCAATTTTTGCACTCATATCTTTCTTTATACAAGCTCCCATGTAATGACAAGTTGTGACAAGCCGTGTTAAATGTTCTTTGGTTTTGAAATTGGTGAAGCAAAGATTTAATCCTTGCATACAGCTACAATATTGGGGTCTGTATGTATATGGTAAGGGTTCGTTGGTAAGGGCAACATGCATTATGACCGGCGATCCCAAGACCCTATGAACAGAATGTTTTAAATTGTTGAAATATTCGCTGTCGAACTCTTCAAGTACGAATATAGTTTCATATTGATCATCTTCCAAGTCAATGTATTCAGAACCATCTTTAGATGCGACAAATGGTATATTTATATTATTTAAAGCCTGAATAAGTTCGCTATTGTTTGCAGCGCTATCAACCAGGCAAACTCTAGGCTCAACTGAAGAATGATTGGGTGACTTCATAAAGTTCATAGCACTTATTTCAGAACTTGCTGTTGCCGAAAGTTTCAAACTATGATCTGAAAATTCAGCCATTTTGGATGTACTTGGCTGTAAATCGTCAATTTATATCAATTTTCAAAAATTGTGCAGACTGGCGTCCATCATTTGTCAGAATCAGCAATTGTCTAACAGTACAAAGCAATTTCAACCATCCTAAATTTTTAACACCTATTCAACTGTAAATAACCAATATAAATTTGCAAATTATTACCCGTTACTGTGAAAAGAAGAAAAATGACAGAAATGTCATGGCGGTATCCTGTCAACTTTTAATAGCCATTTAACACTGTAAACCATATTAATCATGAGCATGAACCAATATCCCAGTATTACAGATGACCCTAAGCAGGATACTACAATGTTCAATATTTCAGTATGTTAAATAATACCGTAATACTGTAATAAAGTACAGTGGGGCACAATACCCAAATGTATCGCCATTTGATTTAATAAAAGCAACACAATATTTGTTTTTGAAACGAGGGCGTCTGGAACGACAACAGATGTGTCAGATCACGCGAGATTGTCTCTGTAATAATTGCGATTTTTTGCTAAAAACTCATGAAAGCTGCGGTAAAACTTTTCTCCTTCAGTCTGTCGGTAAATCAGATTAGATTGCATTTACTTTTATTTAATTCTATAATTGTGCAGTGCTGATATAAAGGCCCAGATAGTTTCATAAAAGGAAGGTTTGCACTCAATGTTAAAATTAATGTCTTTTAATATTAGGGCTATTATTGAAATCGGAGTAAATTTCAAGTCAGTACTGCAGTAAGTCAACACAATTAAATATGGCTATTCCCAGCTAAAACATGCAAAACAACAAATTTTACAGAGAAATATCAATTTTAGATTACAGAAATTCAATTATCAAAATTCTTAAATCCAATAAGTGCGGTATTTCTGCATTAATTTTGAATCTCATTCGTGAACTAACGTTATATCTGTCTATGAAAATGTAGTAATGTTAATATTAGGTACGGTACCAGTATTGTAACTTACGTAGAGAGATTCATTCCCACAAAAACAAATTCGACACTATTCAGCTCTTATTACAGTATCATAAACATAAGCCAATAAATAGGCTAGTACTGGAATAAAAGTACTGTAATAGAAAGAGTAAGTACGGTACCGTACCGTAGTAGTAAATGCGCTGGAATAAAATAGTTACACATAGACCAACGTTAGACTTACGGTGACGCGATTAAAACGACAAGCAACAGAGCGACAGATTAATTACTAATTTTGCGGTACACTTTCATAAAATATACGACAAATCACTACCGTCATACCGGTACCGTTCTGGCTTGTTGCAATATTTCACATTATAACAAAAGCATAGGCAAATTACCGAACTACAGACAGAGAGGCACTGGCCGACTTGGAATTCAAAAGTTTTGTTCGTCGGCCAATCCGTGAAGGCATTTTTTAAACAATGAGCGGGTCATGCATTCAGCTTACTAGCGCCTACATTGTGCATAGAGAAGTATTTCAGATTAGATTTCAGGGTTAGTATATTTGAATTTTCACACCTGTTTGTTACTGTTGTTGTTTACATAAATGCTTTTCACTAAAACGAATGAATAATCGTTTACAAATTTTTATCAATCGAATATGAAAGAAACATTTGTTGAAGTTTCGCCCGATTCCGGTTTAATAAAATCATTTTTGCCAAACTCCAAATTTAAAAAAAAATCCTGGAATTTGATTGCGTGGAAATCGGATTTTACAGATGAAACCTTGATCGTAAGTTAATACAATACTTTAGAATATATGTTGATTAATTTTAAATGACATTGAAAGACAAATAAACACTTTTCCAGCACAACACTTGTAGCACCGCCAATACAGCAACCCTCCAATCTTCTCGAAAACTCTCTTGTTCATTGCTACTTTAAGTTCCAATCCAACAAATTACAAATTTTACGCGCAAAAATTACATTTTTATTGTCTTGTCTTCATAATTTCGCTAAGAGAAATAGGACTGGTATTTATATAATAAGTTAATAAACGAAATGTAACGGGAAGCTAACCTCTTTTCGAAAAAATTCGGAAAAAAGACGTCAGAAATTTCGCCTGCAAAAAAAACTCCATAATCACACTTTCTATTACAGCGGAATGAGGTACATACGGAATGTCTGTACATTTTTCAGTAGACTTGAACAAAGAATTTTACAATGACATGCAAGTATTTATTACTATGGGTGTTCAATAAAAACATATGAAATCCTATTCTAATATCCTAAATCCCACATGAATATCATATTCCATTGTAAATAACTATATGACAAGAGAGCTAGATTCCTTATCGAAATCCACAATACGTCCACCCAACTAAAGGTTCCCCTAAATAATTATTCCTATGTACGGATGTATACGTAGCAGTTTATCATCAGTGAATGAGAGATTGCGTATTGTGCCTAATATTTAAATTACTTGAAAATAATTTTCAGAGGCTGCGCACACGCATAGATTTACTGTGCACAGACGTATTTCGATGTGATGTAACAATGTTTTCGGTTGGCAGGTTGAAAAAGTTATTTGTTGGCCCACTTATTACCCGGTTAGAACGCCAAAATTTCTTCATTGGTTTTTACACAAATATTAGTCCTTTCCAAAAAAGTGCGCACACACCAAAATTTCTGCGCACACATACTACAAAAAATTAGAGGGAACATTGGCGATGAGGATGGGATTCGATCCCACACAACAATATACCCGTATTTCTCCGTGTATAATACGCACTTCTGGTTTCAGATTTCATCTTCAAAATTAGGGGGTGCGTATTATACATTGATATAGAAAATTTTCAAAAAATCCTGATCGATATTTTACATGCAATTGCAAAATACACATGTTTTCTTTCCGTCCTATTTCTATTAATTTTATGTGACAAAGTCCGTAATAACCAGATCATGCTTGTTGCAGTAGAATCACACCCATAGAATGGACTATCTTGTCTAACAAAGGACAACGCATCTATTTCATTAACCAGTGTATATAAGTGATAAGAACGTCACTTCAAATCGATAGCTTGATTGTTGTTGTCGTCCAGTCTGGCGTCCCTCATTTCTGTTTTGCCGTATCGGCAAAATTGAATGTTCGTAAATCATTTTTTCTCACTCTGAATTGCGGCTTGTTTCATTTCTCTCGTTTTGACCGATCGGCAAACCTAACGCACACAAATCTTTTTTACCCAACCATTTTCAAAATGCTCTAAGATAGGTAACAGCACGATAATTCAAAGCCGGGTAACAGCACTCCGAGATTGACAGACACAGACCTGTAAATGTCATAAACACTCGAAACATATTATTAAATCACAATAAAATTGCTAGGCTGGCTTCCCGAAAATACCAAATGCGGTCGACGCAAGTGACCGAAGTGAGTGACAGAATTCGATCATGCGTATTATGCATGGACTTTGATATTTTCATACAATCCATCCTAAAAGAGCCCTGCGCATTATACATGGAGACGGTATATTATAAACGCACTTCGTGCCCTGCTGATAAAGACCTAATTTAGCCTTTTCTACTTAAGTTTTACATAAATAGTATACTTTATACTATGTTTCACGCCAAGTTTAGAAATCACCAATAATAGTGGTTCAGTTCAGCATATTATAAATATACAAAATTCCAAAAACTCACTTCATCTACTTTTAAACAATGTCCACGTGACAAACTAATAAAATTAAACACAAATGAGTACAGTTTTTGAGCTGCCGGACTAAAGCAAATAAGTCACGATTGCAAACACTACATATATATATATTTTTTTTTTTCAATAAATTCAGAAATTCAACACAAATGTTAATTGAAGTATATATCAAAATTATATGCGCGTTCTTGATTGAAGTTCTGTCAAGTTATTTGTAGAATATGATGGGGGTTGCTTTCCCGTTGAAATTGACCCATAATCTATGTCAGATCGGATTCTTAATGGAATGTTGTTGTCACGTATGCTGGTTATATATTGTATTGATTGAAATGATACAATTAGTATAAAAAATTAATGTGTGTCTAACATTTGGCACAAAATATTTGTTACATATGTAAATAAAACTATAGTGTATGTTGAAAATGAGCATTGATTTGTTCTACAGTAATAGTTTTATAGCAAACCATTGGCAGCAAAATTTTTCCACGTGTGGGTCTAATCAGATAAATGTTGAAAGTTTTATTTATAGTTTTCCAAAAGTCAAAAATGGTATGCCGAAAACAAATCTCCAAACTTGCAGAGTTATCTAAAGGTTTGCAGTGTCTAATTCCTTTGTCATACTTGCATTACATCATTTCCCAAGTTGTCATCTTCAGATCGGAATCTTCTTGAAATGTTGGTATCGCTGTTTCATTAAGGCAACCCTTCACTGGTTTAGGCCCTCAACAGCGAAAAGATTCACTAAAAAACGAAAGACAAGACAAAGAAGATGAGTTACGCCGCCGCCGCGTCATCGACTCCTGCCGCAGAAGATTCCGCCGCAGCATCTCGACCTGGGACGCTCTTCCTAAAGACCGACAAAGACGTGGAATTCGCAGAGATGATGGTCGTCTTCAGAAACAATTCGCAAACAAGAAAGTTCTGCGATCAAATCGAGGGGCTGTTTGAAGGTCGCAAAGGGACTTGAATCCTAACCTTTGCGGCAAGAGTTTTTTTTTAATCTACAGGTATGGAGATAGAAACTTCTAAGAGTGCCATTACTGTGACACTTAAAAGCGAAGCTACAATCTCCATACGGGAATTCCGTATGAAACTTCGTACACCGAAGCGGTCACAAAGATTAACCAGCTTGGCAGCGGAATGGTGGGACATGCTATTAGGAACTGGCACCGAGGGAACTCAATTTACAACGGGCACACCTCGTTTAAAATCGACGTCTTCAAAAAAGATCGTCTGCCAGACTACGTAGTGGTAGATGGCATCAGGTCACTGGTGTTAGGCACTTTCCAACCTAACATCCAGATGTAGCGTACACCATAAAAACACTGACGGCCCCTGAAATCGGAGACACTTCAATAGAACCACAATGACCCCTAGAATCCGGTACACTAAACTAGCTACTACAATTTGCAAAATAGGCTGAAAATAATTTATGACAGGCATTTTAAAAGACTAAAAACAATTATATATGTGCACAGCATTTGAACAGTACTGATGATAGCTAATTGCATGACAACAACC